CGGGGCTGAGATGCGCTCCGATAGCAAACCGAAACTTAAAGACCCGTGGTTTTTTGTGCAGTTTTTCAGAAAGCCGTAAAATACTTTGCGTGCCTTCTATTGTTCTGCAATTTGTTCATTTACTGTTTTTCGATGATGCTGTTTTCAGCATCATCGAACAGCATCGATGATGCTGTTCGATGATTTGGTCCTAGGCCCCTGGCCTAGGACCAAAACGCCACAAGCCTTTTTTCGTTGCAATGAGTAGTTTTCGCAGGAGCAATTTGGACTGCATTCTCTGAAACACCCCACCTCTACAGTGGTCAGGGAATTTCACCTGAAATTGTCAGGAAAACCTGCTTGGAGCCTAACTACTTCGAGCAATGGTATATTTGCGGGCTTAATATTTTGTTAATTCTGTAATGTTTTGTCATTGTTTTGCAATAGGCAGCAAAGTGTTCCATTCACTTGATGTATTAAGGGGAGATGCAAGCAAAAAAGGTCAGTTTCTTTAAAAAAATGATTTTGGAGTTTGAGGTGTTTTATTATCTTTTAAACCTTCATCTGCTATGTATGAAAAAATCAGGACCAGATAAAACCGCAAAATTAGCTGAGTATGCAATTGAAGTACCCTTGGCGATCTAAGAGGGTGTAAATTTGAGGCATTTTCATGTACAAAGTTCTTCACATTGTGGAGTTGCCTGCCATTACGTTTATTTTGAGTAGTAGTTTTAGCTCTCTTTTCTTTGTTGCATTCTTCGGCGGCTTCAATTTCTCACAAAAAGAAATAACCAGATTTTGTTGTTGTCGCAAAAGAGTCGTTACGCATCTATGGTAATTTTTTTATGTGTTCTGCTTTTGTTTCTAATTTTGGGGCATTTTCACAGTTTGTGCACATGAGTTTTTGTTCTTAAAGGGACACAGACAGGGTATTTATGCTCGCCGAGGTTTTTAGTTGTACGTGACATATGAGAGCCCAACTACCCAGAACAGAATTTGTCGCTTGAAATTCAGTTTCTCTCTGCCCGAAAACCGCCAATCGAGAACTGGCCAGTTTGAGTTGCTCTCACTCTTTTCTTCGTGTTCACGGGCCGTTTTCTAAGGTTTAGACACAACCACCAAATTTAATCAGTCGTGGGTCATTGAAAGCACACACTCAATATTAAAAATAGAAAATAAATATGAAACCCATTTTTTGTGGCTTCTAACAAGCTGCAAATACATTGATTTAAAAAAAAGTTGCACAGAGAACTGGAAGCAATCTGTGCGTTCAATGCGTAAGTCTCAACATGGCGTCGTATCGCATATCGTGGGTCTCGCGGGCTGGACGACGATGGCGACAAACGTGGAACCTCTACTTTAAAACTGTCGTTCGCGGTACCGGCAAATCTGTCTTTCTTCGAAAGAGAAATTTGGTACCGATCAAAAGAATTGGTATTCATCACGTACGACACGCCCGACCACCAAGCTGAATTGCACAAAGACGTCGCCGAGCCGTTGCCCCTTCTCGTGGCTGAAGACATCGTTCATGCAAACGTCAATCACGAAGTGCGCTTACGATTTCTTTATTAGGTGTGAATCTGGCCAATGTGTGGTGCTGCCCGACTTCGGGCCGGGAGTGCCTTTGCTGGAGGGTAATCGGCAGCACACTTTCTGACCTACAGTAGACCGGCTGCATTACCATGAAGAATTCCCTCAGTAGCTCGTGGAAAGATGTCCGCCTCGCACGCAGCGGGTCCAAGTTCAACCCTAGTATGGGCGTACCTTTTTTTTTTTCTTGTCAAACATTTTGCAGTATTTACATATCTTTTTTTTAGAATTATTACTGAAAAAAACAAATGTTGTGGACGATGTGGTATGGAATTCCCTTTTTGGTATGGAATTCCCTTTTTGACATCTGCGAACTCAATGTAGTTACTTTCCGCAAAATGCAAGGAACATATAAATTGGGTAGGAACCGCTTTTTAAGGTGCCCGTAACTGTTCTGCAGGAATTGCAGCAACCCATTGGTCTCTATCCCGTTAATTTTTCGGAAACTTGTGCAGACTCTGCCGCACACTGCCACTTTTGGATGCAGGACATGTGAGGCAGCTCTTCAAGCAACATCTTGGGGGGTATTCTTTTCGGAGCCGATCACGGGAATTCACCACGGGCACTCGCTACTTGTTCCCAACTCCTCAATGTACAAAACAACTCATCTTGAAGTACAGAACAGTGAGCGGAACAAACATAGCTGCAATGGAATTACACAACAATCAATTCCCGCAACGCATTTAACCTGCTGCGCGCAGAAAAAAAAAAAAAAACGATTGGGTGTAGCCACGTGACTTCCAACTCTCTCTCATACTCTATATTTCTCCGACCTCCGTGCGGAGGTTTCGGTTTCGAGCAGTTACATTTTTTCGGTTTCGAGCTTTTGCGTTTCGAGAGAACATGACTCTGTAGCAAAATATTAATTGGGTAGTCTTCCGACACCATAATAAATCGCCTGGCAAAAAAATTTAAAAAACATTTTTGGGGTGTGTCAGTGTCCCTTTAAAGGGAAGTTGAAGCACTTTTCAAGAAATCGGAGTTAGGAGCAGACTCCTATAGCTTTTTGCCCCGTGAATTCCATTATCGCTCTTATCTTGGGCAGAAGTAAATGTAAACCACATTTATTTGGAAAAATATTCGCAGCGATTGCCGCCGGGTATGCAGCGATCCCCTCTGCTGCCTGTTATCTGTCCAGAGCGTCGTGATGTCGTTGACGGCATCCCCGAGCCAGTTTAGCGGCGAGGAAGGGTCATCTGAGCCCACTGATGACGCCACTTTTGCTGGTTTTTTTCTCTCGCGCTTTCCTACCAACGGTGTGCCACAACTGGCGGGTCTATTACGTCCAAATTTTAATTGACTGTTACGACACTCTTACTAATAAAAATAAAATAAATCTTAAGACATAATTTTGAAGGTGCCTACATTACAACTTTTACTGTATTTTCAAATTCAAGGACGTCTTCAAATTACTGTTTGTTAAAATTCAAGAACGTCTTCAGCTTCCCTTTGAACGGGCACTAAAGTAGATTTTGAGATTATCCTTTTTTTAATAATAATAATAATCTTTATTGTTATGTGTCCACTAGCAGCTCAAGGCCTTTTCTGTGTTACACAACAAATATAACACAACTAAAAAAAAACAAAAAAGCAGAGATATCCAATTACAAAAGTACTAATATAGCATCGCAGTTGCAGCAAAATGTTGTTGCATCACAAAAAAATTTCAATGTGGGGACAATTGCACTATATAAATTCTATTTGCATTCTTATAATAGGGGATGTGGTAAAAGCGCATGCGTATAGATAAAGCTGTAATTATGGCTGATACGCAGTGGGACAGGAAAACCAATGGAGTTCAAGACAGGAAAGTCTACAATCCCATCAACAACCTCATTTATGAACAAAATATCCTGATAACGCCGTCTGTCAAACGAAGACCGTAAGCCAAGTTTTTTTAAGTAACAGATCGTAACTGTAGTACAAGTTGCGGCCAAAAAATCAGTTGTACACCATACCGATAAAATGCTTCTGAACATGCTCGGTTGAATATCATGCAGTAAAGCTTCCAAAAGTTCACACAGCAGATGCAAACTCAAACTTTGCATGTATGAGGCAATAAAATAATCAAACGTAGCAGGAATATGAAGAAAATTATTTTGTCAACGGAGAAATTGCCCCTAAGGTTCTGAGGGAGGTTTTGCAAATGTCTGATGCAGGATGATTGAAGTTTAACACCCTATAAACATGAGCTCTGAGCTCTCGCATAACTCTAGCATGTTTGATGATGGTGCTATCTCAAATGTAGCTGAACGCAAGTGGCTCTCGCTTTTTGCATAGGCTTATTTTTTTTTTAGTTCATTAAGCATGGCACAAACTTAATATATGCACCCTAAGCATTCTACAAAACCCAAAATTACAATCATGCGTGGCCTTCTTTGCCCTTAATAATGTGACCAAACACCTGCGACACCCTCTTTTTTAGATATCTCAGAAAACGGGTGTATCATGGTGTTCGGTTGTGTTTTTAATAAGGAATAAAAGTTACACTTGGTTGTAATTTTCGGTTTTCTATGGTACTTTGGGTGGATAGATTGAGTTTGTGCCATAAAAAGATCTCGAAATCCGCTTGGATACACTTTAGATATGTAGAATGCAACTATCCAGGTTTAGATAATTTTATAATTCAGGAAATTTAAAGAAATCTTTGTCGATTCTTAATAATTTTTTTTTTTTTGTGATTTCCAGTTATTTTTAAATAATGGTCTGCACAGATTACTTTTTTTCTTTGCACTTAGCGGTTCACAAGAAACAACTTAGCTTATTTTACAATGTTCTTTTAAATTTGTTGCCATCGTCCAATGTGCACAAGATGTGTTTTTTTCTATTTTTAAATCTACATTAATTCCAGAACATGACAAATACTGTAATAAAACGAACACCAGATTTATAAAAATGACATCAAGCAATATATACTCTGAAATTTTTGTTTAAATACTGTAAATATATATTTAAAAAAAAAAATTTCACATAGAGCATGCCCTCTTAATTAGTGTAGGCAAATAATTCAGGTGCAATACATTTTTTTTTAATTCTTCTGAAAACAATTGTTAAACATTAAATCATCCTGAAATCTAATTGGCAGTTTCCAGTAAGCCTTTATTTACCTTAAAGTATTCTTTACAAACATGGTTCTAAGATTTAGATAAACAGACATAACTTCACTAGTGTACATGTAAGGGAGGAATGATAATGTACATATGAGAATATTTAAATCTGCACATTCTAAAGGGGTCTTACAAGGTCGGCATACATTAGTCGTTTATTTGGGCATGCTGACGGGTAAGCGAGGTACTGAGGTGATATTTTTTTTAGGGAAGGCTTCATTACTGTTTTGGTGTTGGAGTTCCCTACTTTGAGCAGAATTGGAGGATATTGAGGATTGTTAGTTCAAATCTGTGACCAATACTATGTATTGGAATTTTTGTCAGGTTTACCTGAGGGACTGGGCAAAGCTGGTCAACGTCCCCATTCTGTCCGTGGACTATGCCCTGGCGCCAGAGTTCCCTTACCCAAGGGCCTTGGAAGAAGTGGCTTTCGTTTACGCCTGGGTTCTTAACAACTGCCAGAAGCTCGGTATGCAACTTTTCAACTATGCAGAGTACTTATCTACGGTTTCCATTTGGTTATGTTCGAATATATGATTATTTCAAATTTTTCGATAATTTCCTTCGCTTCCTTTTTCTGCTGATGAAACTTTTTCCTTACTGCTTTATTATTGTCAACCTCTTTAGAGTGCCTTTGGTAGCATCAACTGGTGTGATTGTTCTCAACTCTAAATGTTGCACTCGAAAGTGGTGACAGCAGGATAGATTAGCACAACTGCCTTAAACACATGACTATAGGTCGACCCCTCTATTTAGTTAGGAGTAAATTGGGAGTGTATTTAGCTGCGAGTAATAAAACAAAGTATTGTGTTTATTACATTTGCCAAGTTTTGTAAATCACTGGTTATACAATATGTTTGAATGAGGTTAATGCTGATTTTTGAGGAAGTGGAAGGTACAAAAATTTATACAAACATTTTTTTCAAAAAATGCATAGTCACCTTAGCTAAAACTCGCGTGTCGATCACGCTGGCAACATTATCGTCCAAGCTTTCAGAACGATCAGCCACATAACTCTAAGCTGTGCCACTTGAATCATGTCTCTCGTGTTCACTTCTTGCCTACTGTAATAACGAGTGTCACTCGTACCAACCCTTACGGACCATAAATAAAGCCCAAAACCGAGTGCAACTCGCTCTTCGGTTTCGTTGCTTGTTTAGCACGCTTTCTGGCAGATGGCAAAACCACCCCTCTTGCTTCATTTACCTTGGGTAATTTGCTCGTTTGTTTTGATGTTTGATAGAGAGAAAACGCTTCATTTAGCCAAGAAAAAAGTGAAAGCCATTTACAACTCCCTGTAACACCGAATTAGAGCGCAGCTCTTGAGGAGGAGGAGGGAAGGGTACTGGGGGGGGTCAAGTGACCTGGGGGGGGGGCACGGGACGATGCCGATGATGTCATCAGTGACGTCACTGATGACGTCATCAGTAACAATGACGATGCGGATTCCAATGACGTCATCAGTGATGATGACGATGACGATGCGGATGCCGGTGACCTCATCGGGGAGGTCACGTGACTTCGAGGGGGGGGGTCACGTGACCTCGAAGGAGGGGGGTCACGTGACCTTGGGGTGACCTTGGTTACGCTGACGCCGCTCAAGCCAGGAACGGTCCCCTAAGAGCTGCGCTCTAAAAGAAGAGCAGTCGCTTGTGAGTGTTTATGCTAAAACAACAGGGCTTTAACATGGATGTCCACTTTAGTCGACGAAGAGATACAAAACCTTCTTTTTGAAAGGGATTAATGCTCAGGCATATGTGACGACGAATCCCTCAGCCTTTCCGATTTTTAGGAATCGGACGATAGTTTGATGGACAGTTACAGGAGTGATGAAAACAATGTGAATCCTGCAAGCATCCCGTTAACTTCGGCGTCAGCTCGTCAGTTGGGCTCTGTCTAACCAGAAGTCTTGATTTAGAGCAAGATACGACACCCGAAAGTTAGGGAAATGTTTTTGGCTTATTTTAATGCAAATTTCCTGTTTAAAATAACATTTTGCTGTACGTTCCTTGAAGAAAACTATGAGTAGGCAAGGGAACACTAACCTAACTTCTTAGATTGTCTATCGATGGTCATGCAAGTGGTATTCAATAATTTATCTACATGAGTATGAAAGAAAATAGCATGCATGTTGAAACTAGTCTGGGCAGGCTCTTGTCTCATGATTACTCCTGCACAGTTGCGACTTAGTGCGAGTCTAAAATTACAGGAAACAGGATGTCAGGAGCGCACTGTTGTAGATCAGTTATAAAATGCTAGATTTAGAGAAATGTTAAGCAAAAACAATTTATATGAAGAAAACAAGTCAAAGGAGATCTATAAATGCATGACTACGGTTTATGATGACTCTGCCTCATGTGCAAGGAACTAAAGGATTTAATTTTGTCAGGCAGGCGAATTTAGGTTTCCCAGATAGCTGAAGAAATGAGCACCCTGGTAGGTCCAGTTTGAAAAATGATTCATGAAAAGTCATGGCCTTCTATGTTGGAAGGCCACGAGGCTTCAGTGCTGTCAAGAGAAATTTAAGAAGCTTCGTGGAAACCAAAAGGGAGTTCCTTTTATTGTTTGGTCACTTATATGAAACTTGAGTCTAGCACAAAAATTATATGTCCAAAATAGAGTTAATGCAGTGGAAGCACAAGTCATCTCCTACCCCAAGACAGTTCAAGACAGAAAAATCTGCAGGCAAAGTCCTGGCAACTGGATGTTGAAGATATTTTGCTTCTGGAACTCGTGCCACACGAGACTGTTAGAACTGGGGAGAGTTATGCCAACACAATGCTAGCTTTGCGACCATCAATCAAGAAGGAAATATGAGGAGAACTTGCACCAGGTGTCATCCTTCTTCGTGGCAGTGCTCCATTCACTTGTCAGATTCATCATTGGCTGCCATCGGAGAAAGTGGGTTCCAGCAGCCGAACCATCTATCCAAGAGTCCTGATCTGGCTCCCTCGGGTTATTTCCTGTTCCGAGTTTTGAGGAAGTCTCCCTTGGGCAGCGATTTTCAAGTGACGGAGACATTGAGACAACTGTGACATTCTGCTTTGAAGGTTAAACAGAAGATTTATTTTTCCAGAAGGGTTGAAATCATTCCAGGAAAAGTGGATGAAGTGCATAGAGTTATTGGGAAACTGTTTTAAAAAATAAAACAAACAAAAGTTTGAAAACACTTTTTTTTATTACTGACGTAGATAAATTATTTAGCACCCTTTGTAACTCAGTCTACGGGTTCTATGACTTTTAAAGAAAACAGAATAACATAGATGCGCCCCCTTTTATGCGATTTGGCGTAGAAACCAGAGTGCGTCTTCAGACAAACGACAACCAATCGCAAGTGATCTCTTTCCTTATGGCAGGGGGTCCATCAACCTTGGAGTAATTTTCAGATCTGTGTGGATCGCGCGCGGGAAGTGATTGCTTGCGATTGACTGTCACTAGTCCTACGACACCGTCTGGTTTCTGCGCTGAACTGCAGAAAAAGCGACCTGTCGCGGTCTTAAGCTCGTTATTAATATGGAAATCAACCAAATATGAATGTAATCCTGTTTTTTGTTTTTTGAATGCTAGAGCCTGTGAATTGTGGTGTGACCATAAATAGTAGACAATCTCAGAAATTACTTTAGTGACCTTTTAAGCTTCACTGCCTCGCATCACTACTCTTTCATCAAGCTTCACTGCTTTAAAAAGTGGCTGAAGCAACTAAGCATCTCAGTTAGTCTGAGGGTATGGAAATTTTGCTCACTATCAGAGGTCAACCTTTTTTTGTTACAACTTTAAAGAAACAGCACAAAAACATGTCACCCTATTTTTGAATACTAATTTACAGTAATTTCTAGTGCAAAATAGACTTATTTGTCATATGCAAAAGAAACATCACACAGAAGTGTGATCTTTCTTTTCGGTATGACAAAAGAATGTTATTGCTTAGCTTGACTGACGAGGGAGGGCTCGTTCACACGGTTGCCTTTGACTGCACTAAGGCTGCTTGCGTCGAGCTGTTGCTATGGCAATCCTAATGACGAGCCAATAGGGAGGTGCTGTGCTGCACGTGTCACGTGCAGCACAGCACTATCGCTTCAGCACGTGTCACGTGCTGAAGCGATAGTGTGGTTTACTTCGTTGGTGTTTTTTCTATAAATGTTTAGTTGTGAGTTCAGCGCTTGTGTCGTTCGCACTTTCCTTTCGTCCTTGTGTATTTTTTGCGCGCTGTTTATTTCCGTTTACCATGAACCAACTTGCCTACATCACGACACTGACCCCAAAGGGTTCGCTGGGGTCCGCGGACCCCCATTTGAGAACCACTGATCTAGAGTATTCCCAGAAAGTTTCATTTGTTTACAGTGCATAGTTCTTTTATTGTAAATTATTTTCAGTTCACCAATGCTAAAGAAAAGGTAGAGGTATGAAACTATCAAGAGACTTAATATTCACAGCTTATATGCCAAAATTGTATGGAGCCAGTTACTATGAACTTAGATTTTGCATTTTCATGTTCCTTTATTATGAAAAATTGTAATTTGCAAAACTTGGTAAGTGTGAAAAAAAAATTTTTATACATTTTTTTAATCTGGAAACTTTTTATTTTTTTTATATTTCTTTTTATAGCAACCGGCAATAGATATTCCAGTATGCATTCCACCAGAAAAATATATGGTTATTAACAGCATTTCTCAACGATAGATTCATTGAGCAGATTCCATGCAAGGCTATGCTTTACTTCGTTCTGGGGTTATAGTACCTCATAAAATTGGTTCACAGGGCTGAAACTTTGCATGCCCACCTTCTATATGACTACAAACACTACCTGCAAATATCATGCCGATTGAATGAGTGGTTCAAAAGTTGACATTCCCAGGTGGTGTCCCCCTTAAAGGGCAACTCCGCTCTATTATGAAGATTTCGGGATAATGAGTGATTTCGAATTAAAAAGCCCTAGTAAAAGACACTACGTCGTTTGCTTCACAAAAAATGGGATATATATTTTTAAATCTAATTTTAAACACGAGCGGAAATCGAAACCGAAACTTCGGCTGCGTCCGGCAACATTGGCCTCGGGCCGCCAAGTACATGGCCATCACGTGGTACGAGATGTCACGTGATCCTCGGCCCAACAACGGGCGGGATGGGGGCGGGCGTGCGGCAGGCGCGAGTGTCGTCTGCACCGCACTTTTCGCCACGTTTTGGTGTCTACGGCATTTGACGACGTCTGCACAACTGCGGCATAAGTCTGCGACTCTGCGCACGTGGTGTCCATAGTGTGGACGAAACTCCAAGAGGCAATAATCACAAACGGTGAGACGACGACGGTGGTTGTGACGTGGAAGACGGCGGTAACGGTGGGACCGCGGCGGGCGGTTGGTCTGCTGACCGCCGAAAGGCAACGTTGCTGACGTCGTGCGCTACGCTCGATTGGAGAAGTAAAAACAAGCAAAAGGGGGCCATGATGATGACATTTAGCTCAATGTTGGCTCCGCCCATGCCGTAGCCTTGACTGCGCTGTTGGTTGCCCCTGAATTCGCCCGCTCGAGTCAGCCGATTCCGGCAACTTGGCGAGTTGCAAAGTTTATCGAACCGTTTAAGAAACATTTAGACAGAACTGCGTCATACTATTTGACGTGTGGTCTTCCTAGGCGATACTGAAGAGGACTGCATTGTTTTTTCAAAACCAAAAATGAAGCGGAGCTGCCCTTTAAGGCACTGTGGAATTGTTTCTTGCCTCTTCATTTGCTTGCATTTGGAAACATAAAAGTGGTACCAGACCAGAATATTTTACAAGAGGGGAACTACGTTGCCCAATGTAATATAATAACAATTTTCTATTAGATGATTTCTGCATGTCTGGGGGCTTCTTTAGCCCGCAATGTTCCGCGTATGTTCCCCAACAGCCTCAATAATATGAAGCGTCAGAGTGATAGCTTATATTTTGGTGACCGTCTCAAGCCAATATAGTTGGATCTGCATTTGCTCGAGCAAAAAGTACATGGAAATATTTTGTCCCGGTGGTATAGTAGTCTTCTTAACTTGGTAGTTAAGGGAACTTCTTATGAGAGGAGTAATTTCTCACTGAAATGGATTGATTTTTATAAGTTGGCTATATTTTCTAAATCTAATGAATTTTTTATGAAGCACGGCTAAAAGGTGTAAAAGAAATTATTCAGTTTTGTCCATTTATTTCTTTTTCTTTGTGCCTTTTTTTAATGAAGCTTCATAATTCATTACAAAGAATTGAAGTTAAACTGGAGATATAGAACAATAGTTGCTTAGAATAGCACCCTTCTATTTATTAAATTTAGAATGAAAGGCAGCTTGGCTACTGCTCAAGCAAACAACACTCAGGTTATGACTGCCAAGAATAGGCAAAAATGTCTGGGAAACTTAAAAATCTTGACTGAAATTATAGCTTTTAAAATGTGAATGGCTGTTATGTGCTTGTCTCATCTTCATCTTTGCAACAAGGTTGTTTGGAACACTAGCCGCGCTTTTACACCGAGTAACCGCAAAAGGAAAGAGGAAAAAACCGGCAAAAAACATAGTTTTCCTCAATAATGTGATCAAGGAAGTAAAGAAGCCAGAGGTAAAGCACGTAATAAAGGCAAAAGTGTGCTTCGGCGCTAACGCCGCATTAAACCTTTGGAATGTTTCCAATAAAAATTAATGAATGGGTGAATCGACCAAAGTTTTGTTTTGCTTGTATAAAATACTGAAGCTTCGAAAGGAAGTAAGGAAAATGTTCAGTGAAAGTTCGTAAACCTTTATGTCTATGAAATATCCGCTTTTGGCACATTGCTGTTGAGTTTTGCTTTGCCAAAACAATGAATTAGAATTTAGCAATCACAAGATGCAAAAGTATAAATGAAGGTTTATAAGACAGATATACCATTCGCTACTCATATGCAAGGTAATGCAAGCTAACTGACATAAAAGGATGTAGTATATGCTTTAAACATGCAATGTTTAAAACAAGGTGTTTTTTTTTGGTACCTATTATTACATTACGTTTGCACTACCAATGCAGTGGTTGCAATGCAACAGTTCTGTATTACCTTGCATATAAACAGTGCACTTTCAATGCAAGTTTGCATTACCTTGCATACAGACAGTGTAGTAGCAATGCTACACTTCCCTTTTGTATTTTTTTACATTATGCGTAAAAATAGCATGATTACTGGATCACTTAGCCCACACTCTCTTGGTACAGCCTGGTACAAGCTCACAAAACCAACAAAGTTCTTTGAGGAGCAAGCTTTGGTGAATCGCTGCTAGGCGTACGCTTAGTCTGGAAAGAAAAGGGTAAAACACAAAGTTGCAGGGCAGTTGAACGACCGCATCTCTTGCTGTCTGTGCATTTGTTTGAATCTAAACAGGTAAGCCAGAACTGCAATGCCAATGTGAGTCAGTATACGAAAGAGTAGTTATGTTTTATGCGTAAGTCAAGCTCAGAGAATAGCCCTACAATTGGAGGATTTAATGAGCTGCCACCAAATTTTGAGCATCTCGGGGAAGGGCCCAAGCGAATTTCTCGGGATTGGAATGAAAAAGTCTTTGTTTAGGTGTGCACATCAAGATCTGCAGTTTTTTTTTCATGTACTTCAGTGAAGGTGAACTACGTACAAGAATCAAAACTTTAGGTGCTACTTCTGACGGCAGTTCCCCCGCAGTTTGAGGTGTATCCAGTATATTTCCAACCATCGCACTCAGTGAAGCGCAGGAAGTGCTGAGCAATAATAAGCAGGCAGAGAGGGTGTGTCTCTTCTGTATGCTGACATCAACACAACACTCAGAAGATTGCTGCTGGTAGCAGTAGAACTTAATTACAATTTGGTATGCCCAATTTGTTCTTTAGGTATGCTCAATTTTTTAAAATATATTTATGCCTAACGAAATCTTTGGCTGTGTTACATGGGAAGATTTGCTGCAGAACAGTTTTATTTGGGAAAGGCTTGGATCATTATTGCTAGACAGTATCATTTTTAACACGGGTAGAAGTTGTAATTACTTGTGTGAGACATTTGAACATGCACTTGCTACTTGTCATATACTCTTTACAAAATAAACTGCATGACATATGGTGTAGTAGTTAATTTAATTTGTTGTAGTTATTAAAATCCGTTAATAGTCAGCATAAATTATGCATTATTGCTTGCATGAATATTCATTTGTACAAAATTTGTGCTGTCACTTTTTATTCTTATGAGGTTACATGCACGTTTATGTAGCAGACCTTGTTTGTTTGAGCAGAAACCTTTCACGTGCATCAGATTTAGGCATTAGTATGTGCATAGTACACCTTAACAGTTTGTAGTTTACCTTGGCAGGAGGACCCCTAGGCAATCCAGTTTGGTTTCTGGAATTCCCATTAGCAGGCATATGTATATTAAGGGTACAGAAACAGTGTCTTTTGCTCTTCCAGTGATGCAGGAAGGCACGTGCCCTCATTCAATACTTATTCTATGAACTACTATGGTCAGTAGATGCTCTGCCTCCAGCATGCGCTTGTTGCCTTCCTACGGGCTTCAGCTGCGCTTGCGTTGTCAAAAGCAGAAAGCGCCCGCTCAAGGTGGACCATCTATTAAGTTCTTAACCTGTCGCCGACTATGGTATGTTTACTACCTACTAATTTAACTTTTTGCGAGTCCTCTATTGTGAAACTGCCAACATAATTACAGGATTAATGTTCACTCACTTTTTTTTCATAGAAGTTGTGTGTTATCACTCAAGAGTTTGAATGCTGCTTCTGTGCAACATCACAAGGTATCCCAGAAGCAGCCTTCAAGCTGCTTGGGCAAGTTCTGAAATGATATGTGACTAATCTTTCGTACCAGCACTGTTACACTGTGAACAGTTTTAAACAGATGGTGATTTTTTTGTACTTACCCTATGCTAATAAGGGCCTCCAATCACGTAGCCCTAACAAACACAAACAACTGTTCTCCTGCCCAGGCTGGACAAGCGAGCGTATCTGTGTGGCCGGGGACAGTGCAGGAGGCAACCTGTGTCTGGTACTTTGTCTGCGCTTAATAGAGATGGAACTGCGAACTCCAGACTCCATGTTCTGTGCCTACACACCCACCATGCTGAATGCCCATCCCTCCCCATCCAAGTTGTTGACCTGCATGGACCCACTCATTCCACTGGAGTTCCTGCTCACATGCGTCCACGGTGACTGCCCCCGGTTCTGTACTCTTTGACATCTCAGATGCCTCACAGCTAGGCAGAGCTGCATGTAGGGGAGGCCTAAGGAAGGCAAAATGAATGGTAGACAAGTAGCTCCCAAATATCTGGGCAGTTTTGTTGTGCCAAATAACATACAGGTGTTTCAAACCCCAAAAGAAATCTAAATGCCTTCGAGAAGCATCTGAGGCTCTAATTGTAGCGGGTAGCATGCAGCAAGCTCCTCCCTAAAGCATTAGCACATTTAAAAAAAAAGTGCATGGTCTAAGCTGAAAGAACAATATACTAATAATGCTTGAATAGCCTTTTCTCTTACCCAATGCATGAGGTTGAGTCGGTTATGATAGTCTACTAACTCAATCCTTTTGAAACTTTTCAGCCTACCTTGGCATTGGCAAGTCCTGCAGTCAGGTCGAAGAAGTCGGCACTTCCGACCACAATCACGAGAGCATTTCGTCGTTGCACGAAAGTGGCGAAAGGGTACACAGAGAAGTTGATGGGTGGCCAGATGACTCTAGGGATTCTGCTGTCAAAGAACAGTCGCATCCGGAGCATACTGGAGATCAGCGGCATCCCGTTTCGGCCGAGCTGAGGTCCAAGGAGCTCGACAGTCCCGTCCAAAATTGCGGAGACTCCGTGGAAGCCACACGTTTGGATCTCCTTGAGCAAGACAATGCAGAGGAGCACGTCATCTTCGAAATTCCTCCAGACTCTTCCGCGTCTCTGAAGCAGAAGGCAGCCGGAAAGCAGAGTGCGGGTAAGGCCTCCACCTCATCTGCAAAGCAGAGGGCGCCCAAAACACCCAGGAATGAGCTGCCCTGGTTTCACGCAAATAACCCACAACGCCTGAAAGTCTTTGAGGCTCTGGTGTCGCAAGCTGCAGACCCCCTCCTGTCGCCTTACCTGGCTCCGGACAAACTTCTGAAGAAGTTGCCTCCTGCCTACTTCTTGGTGCGTACTATCCGAGGGACTGCATTTGGCTGTAGTTCTTGGGGATGTTCTTTTCTGGCAGTGGGACCAAAACTATGTAACTGGAGCCATCATTTGTTTTCTCTTGCTCAACTAGTCCCTGAAAAATTGGTGGTGGTTTTACTTTTAGGCTGCATCTGGCCAAAGCCTCGTGGACTTCCTCTTTGCTAATGGGTTTTGTATGTAAACATCAGCATGAGTTTGTGAATCACATTTTGTACATATATGTACCGGATATTTCTAAGCGAACTCTCTCTGTGATGTCTTTTGGAGATGATTGTAGGTGTGGTAAAATCTTTGTATCTGTAAGAACGAAATAACATTGTGTTTTAAATTCAGAACTACAGTAGACTCTTGCTAATTGAAACTCCAGGAAGCCACAAATTTCGTTTGAATTACCAGAAATTCATCTAAACATGATGCAAAATAAAATTATGATCTGTTCTATAGATGGCAGCTCATAGCAGATATTTGATAATTTCCTCTATGCAGGGCTACTAATTATAAGCAGGTATGCCATACGTGAGACATTGGTGAAATGTATGAAATAAGTTCATTTATGCCTCAGAAATGTTGTCTATCGTGGAGTGTTGTAGTCAGCACGTGACACCTCAAAACAAAATTAAGTTTGTTTATCCAGCAAAAAAGTTGTCTATTGTGTACTAATAGCCTCGTTGAGTGCGCTTCTTACCGAGCACCGATGCGCTGCGGAAAAGCAACACCCGCTGAAGCGGGCTCCACAAGTGTTGCTATCTGCACTGCGCTGATCCTCGGAAAGAAGCGCACTCAATGGGGCCGCGAGAACAAAAAGTATGAACTACACGAAAATGCCTTTTGAATTAGGTGACTTATAAGCAGTTCAATATCGCGCAATCAGATAATATTTTTAAACTACTCATGAGACACCAGTATTACTTTATTAAGAATAAACTCTAACCTCAATCTACTTTTATTTAGAAGGACATTATCGTGCCTGTCCCCTTTTCACAAGATCTACTATCAAAACAGTGACATCAGAACTTCATTGCTATTTCCACCCAATCGCATATTTCCTCGCATTGATAACACGTATAACATACTCCCGATCTTCGCTTCATCTGTCTCGTTTCTTTACTCCACTTTGCCGTTAAAGGGGGGGTGCAAGGATTTCCGGACTTCGGTCAAAGATTTCTGGAAGTGGCCCTTTGACACTTCTGAAGTAAAGAACAGAAAACTGATTTCGCCTGCGTGTCCTAGTTGTTGCGTAAAAAAAAAGATAGCTATTGGCATTTCTGGCACCCCTCAACTCACTCCCAGCCTTCAGGGTCACACCTGGTCCCCCTCCTAGTGGCGTCAGTCGGAGTGCCGTGTAGGTTCCCGTGTGCTCTCTCAGAGGACGCTTCCTCTCCCTCTCTCTGCTGACATTAGCGGGCGTTATGCTGCAGCTTAGAGCCGAGCGAGGTCACGTAATCCTTTCGCCGTAGTTCCTTCGGCTGCCACTCGGGGCTGCAGGTGGGGGAAAAAGCTCGGCTTTTGCTTCGCGATTATGCAGCGGAATCGCGACATTTTTAATGAAGGAGATGTTTTCTCTATTTTCTGGGACACAATAAACAACGTAAAAATGACGAGATGCAAATTCTTTTAATCATAAAATCGTTTCACCGCCCCCTTAACAACAGCGGTCTAGAATAACCTTCCTAATGGTGAATTCGGGTAGTGAGTCGACGGCAACTTATTTTTCCGGAAAACTGGCAATAGTGTTCGCGTGGTCAGTTTCCAACCGGCACCCACCGTTTGGGTAGTGGTTCTCCGGCAAGCACCGACAACTTTTTGGCGCTTTTTCCGCCCGAGCTCCAAATGGCCGGGCGAGCAGGCGCCAGATTGTATCTGGTGTCATCACTTCCGAAATGGGAGAGAAGGTCAGTGAGAAATAATGAACGAAAGAACGAGTCTGATCTGAAGTCACTTCAACAGCCACTACTCGAGTCAATCCAAGCCATTGGGACATGGGTGACGGCGGCGGCAGCCCCTCGCTAGCGGTGTCGCACGGGCAAGAGGCGAAGTAAACTGCCACCGTCTGGCGTTTCGTGTTCGGGTGCTGAGGGTCACATTGTGTGCTGCCGGCGCCTTTCTGTTTGCCGGTTCCGCCGGCTCGGTCTTGCCGTCGATTGACCACCCAAATTCGCCATAACAGTATTGTGACCCAGATAGATCATATTACATTCATAGTGCAACTACCGTAGAATACCGTGCATCCGCCCATTCAGCACTAAGCGCCCACCCCCAAAATTTGAAACATCTGAAAAAATAGGCACAGCACATTTATATGTAAAATTGATGCCCTCGCATGTGCCCATCCTCAATTGTTTCGCGATTATCTTCAAATTTTGGGAGGGCACTTGCTCAGTATGTTATGGTAAGTAACCATTGGCAACTGCACTAATAGTTTATTATTTATATGTCTGTTTAAGTGCTGATTTCTGTCTTGATATGCCTTTATCTAACACTGTTTCAATGCCCCCTTAACCTGTTGTGTAATGCCTGTAAGGGCCCTGAAGGCTTAATAAATGATGACGATGATGATAAATGCATTGAAAACAGAGCAGGACCACCAAAATTTAAAAATTTGTTTGAATTAACCAGAAGTATGAAATATCAGAGTTTGAATTATTGTGAGCCTACTGTAGAGATAAGCCACAAGTAAGAGGAAAGGGTCACATAAGGGTGCGTTTGATTGCACAATTGACATTATACTAATATAGTGACCTCGGGGTCAGTGATCGAACAGCTTCTACCAACCTTCAAGTTTTGGGATCTAGGACCAAATATTGAAGTTGAGGTTTACCATGTCACCTTTCTTATACTGTTAAAATTGTTGGAGATTGAGAGACTGTGGTTGACACATTGAACAACTCTATTAATGGATACTCATAAGGTTATCATAGCTATCACTAAATGCAGTACCGCACTTCGCGGGTGCCTTTGACATTTTGCACAATACCAGTTGAGTAGGGCATTGTCTTGGTAGGGTTTTACGGGACCCACCAAAAGCATTAATCTTCTTCTATGGCGTCTGCGCATTCTTAGCAGCTCACACACTAAGCCAGTTGCAAAAGTGGCAGTTTGCTTTAACCAAAACATTTTTGCTGTTTTTATGGGCCTGGCACATCATATTTTTAATTGCCTCGAAACGTTTCCTAACTGAATATATTTAATAGCCCCGAGGTAAGTACGGAGCAAATATCAGAGAAGCACTGATGCTGGAGACCATAAAAAAATCTCACTTTCTAGAGGAAATTACATATCCTGTGACGATGGATGCAATGAAACTGCTATTTATGCTCTATTAATGAGGGGGATCGGTGGCTAAGTCAGCTAGTGCACACCTCCTCGGAGCATGTGGAGCAAAAGCTTGTGCTCTCTTAGGGAACCCAGAGATCCTGGGCTCAATCCCCGACCGCTGTTCATTTTGATCTGGATGAACATCGTACCGGCGTGCGGTCATGTATCACTACTGCATGGTGCACATTAAAGACCCCAGGCTAGTGGTTGTACTGCACTGGATAAATTGCTCATCTACAGCTGAGACACTAGATGGTCATTAAAGTTGACTAACTTCTGGCCGTATAAACATACACACAACATTATATCAATATTATCATAGACTTCCTGAAATGTTGAGTTAGCTGTACACTCTTTTTCCTGAAATATACCGTATTTATTCGCAGAATGAACGCACTTTTTTTTTCGAAAAATCGATGCAAAGTTGGGGGGAGCGTTCATTATGCAAAGTAAAATTTTTGCGTCCGTATTTACTCGCATAATGAACGGACCTTTTATCCTAAAAAATTGAAGTAACTTCTTATCTCTTTGCGCGCGGCGCCCGACCCCTAACCTAACTAAGCTGTGCAAAGAAAAAAAACTGTCTTTTTGTTTTTTAATTCTTTGGGTTTTTTTTGCCGCCTTTCGCAAGCTGTTTTGTTTGCTTAGGCGTTGTTTAGGCGAGGGCTCTCCGCTTACCTTTTTTATCTTTTTGCGCGCGGCGCGCGATGCACGACCGCCCGTAACCAAACTGCGCTGTGCAAAAAAAAAAAAAGAAAAAGCTCCTCTTTTTTTTTTGTTTTTTTTTCTCAGTTCTGTAGGGGTTTTTTTGCCGCCTTTCGCCAGCAGTTTCGTTTGCTCAGAGGGCTTCTCCGCTCTTCTTTCTTACCTCCTTGCGCGCGACCCCCCGCAACCAAACTGCGCTGTGCAACAAAAAAGAAGAAGAAAAAAAAAACAACTTTGTTTTTGCTTTCTCTTAGTTCCGTGTTTTTTTTTTTTTTTTTTTCTTTTTGCCGCCTTTCGCAAGCTGTTTCGTTCGCTTAGAGCTCTTCTCCGATTCTCTTCCTTACCTCCTTGCGCGCAGCGGCGCGCTAACCCGAAATCCAGACTGCGCTGTGCAAAAAAAAAAAAAAAAAAAAAAGCTCCTTTTTATGTTTTTTTTTCTTGCTTCCGTTGGATCTTTGCGAATTGTTTTAACGCCTTTTGCAAGGCGTTTTGTTCGCCCCCGCTGCCCATGCATTCACGACCTCGCTGCACCAGGATAGACAAGTCCAATCATTTCGCGCGCGTGGGGGGAGGGGTTCAAAATTTTGACGTCCGAGTTGGGGGTGCGTTTATTACTCGAGTGAAAAAAAAAAACGGTCGAAATTTTGAGAGCCGACTTGGGGGGTGCGTTCATTACGCGAGTGCGTTCATTGTGCGAGTAAATACGTATATAGAACATTTAATTTTGATCGGAAAACATAGGAATGCTTAATATATAAAAAGATTATTGACCGAGCCTTTCTCGCATCATCTTGCCTGAGCCTTCCCAGCAATATTTTGGGGTGTGACATAACTGCATGTCCGTTTTAGAGCGCAGCTCTTAGGGGCCCGTTTCCGGCTTGAGCGGCGTCGCCGTCGGCGTCGGCGTCGGCGTCGCCGTCGCCGTCGCCGTCGCCGTCGGCGTCGGCGTAACCGCGCGGTGCATCATGGGAAATGTCCCATAATGCACCGCGCGAGCCCCCCACCAAGGTCACGTGACCTCGTGGGGGGCCACGTGACCCCCCGAAGTCACGTGGCCCCCTCCTCGAGGTCACGTGACCCCCGCCGATGTCGCGTGACCCCCGATGACGTCATCGTCACTGATGACGTCACCGGCATCCACATCGTCATCGTCATCATCACTGATGACGTCACCGGCATCCACATCGTCATCGTCATCATCACTGATGACGTCACCGGCATCCACATCGTCATCGTCATAACTGATGACGTCACCGGCATCCGCATCGTCATCGTCATCATCACTGATGACGTCACCGGCATCCACATCGTCATCGTCATCATCACTGATGACGTCACCGGCATCCACATCGTCATCGTCATCATCACTGATGACGTCACCGGCATCCGCATCGTCATCGTCATCATCACTGATGACGTCACCGGCATCCACATCGTCATCGTCATCATCACTGATGACGTCACCGGCATCCACATCGTCATCGTCATCATCACTGATGACGTCACCGGCATCCACATCGTCATCGTCATCATCACTGATGACGTCACCGGAATCCGCATTGTCATCGTCATCATCACTGATGACGTCATCAGTGACGTCACTGATGTCGTCACCGGCATCCGCATCGTCATCGTCATCATCACTGATGACGTCATCAGCGACGTCACTGATGACGTCACCTACATTCGCATCGTCATCGTCATCATCACTGGTGAAGTCATCAGTGACGTCACTAATGACGTCATCGGTACCCGCATCGTCATCGTCACTGATGACGTCATCAGTGACGTCAGTGATGACATCATCGGCATTGGGGGCACGTGACCCCCAAGGTAACGTGACCCCCCCCTGGTTAGTTTAACCCCCCCCCCCCCCCCCCCAGTGCCCTTCCCTCCTCCTCCTCAAGAGCTGCGCTCTAATTCGGCGTTACAGGGAGTTGTAAGCGGCTTTCATTTTTCATTTCTATAGTTTCTCGAATGATGCCTTATGCTGATATCTGCTGCTGGCATGTACAGCCTGGAATATGGGTTCTGAAACATCTGGAAAACTAGAACTGTTTTCTGGCTGCCACATTAATATCATTTTAGATGAACCGTGACACACATGAAAGGTGTGACAGCCCGATCGATTCGTTTAATTGACTCGTGACTATATTATTGTAAAAGGTCCGATTTGTTTTATTGACTCGTGATGTTGTTGTAAAAAGTCACTGAGGCAGAATTTTGGGGCTTGCAGTGCCTGCACCTGGACCCTGTCCTGGATGACATGGTGATGCTTGCAAAGAAGCTTCGGTCCCTGGGATGCAGCGTCCGCATTGAGGTGCTGGACTCCTTGCCCCATGGGTTCCTCAACCTGCTCCCTCGTGGGAAAGAAGCCCAAGAAGGGATGCAACGCTGCATTAACATGTTGCGCCATGCCCTCAACATGGAGTTGCTCGGATGCAAGTAGCCCAAAGCCAGTCTACTCTTCTGTTGCCTTGCGGCGTGCAAGGGAGTCCAGTTGTTTACTCCATTCACTCAAGAATGACCGTTCATGTTCTGTGAAGAGTTAACCTCTCGTTGTGTCGAAGCATTTGCTCCTATTTTATACAAGCTACAATGTGGATATGACGATGAAATGTCTTCTCAAAGGGACCGCATAAATCAGTCCCTTAACGTTTTGAGTCTCGGTTTTCTACGGAGGTGTCTATAGGTGGCACATTTATTATTTGAGTGTATGAATATATCAACTTGCCCAAGTAAAAAAAAAAAAAAAAAACTTTTTTTTATGAATAAACAATTAGCTTAGCCTTTTCTTCTTTTTTTTTTTTTTCTGAAATCATTAAGGAGAATTTTGCCATCTATTACGATGGAGGTAAAGAAAGGAAATGAACTTTGCTTAGATTTTAGTCTCTTTATTTTTCCAAAATGAGTTTCAGTGACCCACCATCTCATTTTATGGTTTGGCACCATCCGAGCTTAGCCCACAGCAGTGGTTATCAACCACTGATGTTTTGGGACCCCTTCTGGATCAGCAGAAGTGATGGGAAACCTCATCTTCCCAGGGGGAGGATTAAGAATGATTAAGATTTAAAAAAGGGTAAATAAAGAAAACTAAATGCATACAAGCCAACTTTGAAGCTCTGAAACATAGTCTAATCAACCCCACTTACTCGGTGTGCATGTAAAAGGGTCACCGTCAATTAAAAAAAAAAAAACTTTATTGCTTGATTGAGGGTTTCAGGGATATGAAAAGATCCGCGGATCCCCATTTGAGAACCGTCGGCCTAGAGGAAAAAAGATATTTCTTGTCATATTTTACTTGGGCCAAATCATCCTTCTATATTTTTATTTAAAAAATGTGCCATAAGATTACACCCCCATGCCAAATTATGTCAGTCTCTTAAAAAAACGATTTATGCGGTCCCTTCAACGGGCCATTGGTTTCAGATTGTGCTTTTAAAGAAATGTTGAGATGAAAAGGAAAAGAGGAAAAAATTACGAAAAGTTTTACACTGTGCCTACTTGAAATATTTTTTGATCATTCTAGATTTACTGCCAGATGCCAAACTTTGACTTAACCAAAACATAGCTTTTGGCCAAGCTGTTTTCGAAGTGAAGCAGGCTGTAAATTTTGTTGTCTGTTTAAGAGATGCTGCAATAGTTCTGGGACTGCTTCTGAGTGTGACCAATGACTTTTTAATGTGATCTACTAACAGGGTATCTTAAGACACTTTTCCAGACTTCTTATCTCAGCAGGAGATTTATTGGTCTTAAACTTGTCTGGGTTACTAACAAGGTCTCAGTGCTTTTACCAGTTGGAAGAGAAAGAAAAAAACTGCTGGAATGAGCTTTTTTATACTCACACATTTTCATTTCTGTATACACTATGCTCATCTTACTTGCAGGTCTGTTCACTAATAGGTGTAGATTTCTCTTTCATTGTAAGTATTGAAGGCCACTGTTGTGAAAAAAATAGCTTTCTTTATTTTCTGGATTCTTACAGTTGGCGTGCACAATATGGCATCCTGTTTCGATAACAGTCTTGTCGTCATAGGTACATATCCTCTGGCACTTCTTCTTTTGAGAGCAAAGCTATGGAAATCGTAATCGCTAAAGCCTCATTTTTGTGTAGGTTTCATCTGTACGCTATATGCTATAGATATGTTTGAGTGAGCTTGTTTCTGTTGACTTGCAGAATTTCCACTCTTGTTAACATGTCTGAGCACTTTTGTTGAATGTTTAAAACAGAACTTTGCCTTGTGGTTTCAATGTGCAAATGAATGTCTTGCTGGTGGCCTAGGGGCTAATTTTCTGAGCTATTAACCACTTTAATTTTCGAAGCAGCAGCTGTACCAATCAGTAGTATCTGTTGCTCAAAGTTTATGTTGACATAGTGATAAATATTTTATCATTGCATAATTATTGTTGCGCTATAATTCTAATCTATTTTAATGTCAATTTCCTACATGTGAAGCAATGCAATCAAGTTTGAGACTTTACTGTACAAGATATCCCGTCCTCGCGACATCCAAAAATGCCTTTGTACTTTGAAGAGGTGTATAAAATGTTAAGTATGAAAGTTTTGCATGGGCCTGTGTTTCTCACATCGTCCTGACGTGAGTGGGCGTGAGTGGTGTTATGTTCTTGTGTTTCTAAGAAAACTTTATTTGCTCTGAAGAGTACTCCATGTCCATCCTTGGTGAGAGTGCCACACAGAATGCTGAAAGAGAACAAAGCATTTAAAATACTTTATCTTGGAAAGTATATGCACTTCACCAGTGTACTGTAACATTGTAAGAGTAGACACTTGTGAAAATCAGTTGCCCTCTGTGCAACTTTTTTATAGCTTTTTTTTTAGGGAATTCAAATTTATTTTTAAAGCTGGCTATCAGCTGTAAAATTATAAATTTTTAAGTTACTGGGTTTCACAGACCTGTCAGTCTCGTTGGGCTGATTCACCCTACTCGTCAGTTGACATCCAGGAAATGCTCAGACCTGGCTTGACAATTAATGGGACTTACTGCAGCTCAGAACTGCAAGCTTGACAATGTCAAAAGGAAAGCTTGAGTTATGCTGTCAACATTTTCTCAAATGTCCGGTTAGTGCACACAACTGCCTGGTTGCAAGCGGACCGCTTTGTGACATCATTTAATAATGTTATAAGATGATGTACCCAAAAAGAGATGAAGCCCCTAACTTGTAAGCCAAAATTCTCATTTTACTCATGATGTAATTTGTGCTTTTTCTAATAATCCACAGCAAATTTCAGTAAAGTGAACAACTTCGGAAAGGGCAGTGCAAGAAATTTGATAAAGTATCACTGTTCTAAACTCTGTCTCAATATGCTGCACAGCAGTGAGGGAGGCATTGGCACAAATGCGTGGCTTTAAAATGTGTATTCTTTATGCATGTGCTTTGCACCACTGGCATTTTGCACAGCTATGCCTTTGTGTCCATGTATTGAATTGTGCTGCACAGAACTTATGAGATGGAGCCTACCATAATATCCCGAAGATGCTCCGTCCCCGAAAGACAACCCAGGCCTAATTTGACATGATTTTATTTTTTTATTTTTTTTTAAGCACGGGAAGATACTGTAAACGACTTACTTTTCGCAGGCTGAATATTTTGCGATTTAGGTAAAAGCTGAAGTTCTGGAATAATTCACGGGTTTTAATTTTTGCAACATGGTCGGATCTCAATATAGATTCCAATGTGTTTACATTTTACCGAAATTGTTTGCGGGACTTATTTTTTGCTAGTTGTAAAAAATTTGCGAAATTTGCTATTGATTTTTACTAATTGCAGTGCCCTGGCCAATAGTGGCCTCTGCAGAAATGGGGTCAGTTAGCTACAATGGAAGATAAGCAGCTGAGGGGGAAGGACAGTTGTCTATGATCCATTGGCCCTCAATGTAAAATAATTTTGGCAAATCACAGAACACAAAAAAAATATAATTTTGAAAATTTTTCTTGAGTGCACATTGAAAGTTGGCCCAGTCCTCATTTTTCACCCGATTTTTTTTCTCGCTTTTAGGTGGGTTATCTCGAAATAATCTCACCCCTTTGCACTTCAGCAGAGCGAACGCTGCTCCAGTGTTCGCTCTGCTAAAGAGGAAAGGGAGGGGAGGAGTTTCCTCTAACTCTGTTGAGCTACGGTGACCTGCAGGGTGTTCTGAAACACTATTCAAGCTTAACTTTTTTTGTATATAAATAAGCCAGTGAACAGAGTGCCATAGAACTTTTCACAGAGGTGTTTTTAGGTGGTGATCATAACTCGAATTTCATGAGTAGAGTTAAAAGAAGAAATGCAAGAAAATAAAAACTTGTTTTTTCCAATGCGCAGGAGGAAAGCAAGCAAACCGTCGGGTTGACGCTGCTACCCCCCATGCTCCGATCTGCTGGATCTGTTGTAGGCTGTTAATTTCTAAGAAGCTCATTTTTGTACCATATGGTGCCATATGTGAGTAGCGGTGTCAACCCGACAGTTTGCTTGTTTGCATCCCGCTCATAGAAAAAAAAGTTTTTATTTTCTTGCATTACTTCCCATAACCCTACACTGACAAAACTTGAGTATGATAAATGCATCACCTAAAAATGCCTTTTAAAGCGAAGCTGTTTATAGCTAGGGTTCTGTGGATTTTTCATGTGCGTCAACAGAAACTCGCAGCGCCCTCTCTTAGTCGTCGTTCCAAATGCTTCCAAGCCTAGTTTCCTTCCGCTTTTAGTAAACATCAATAAATAGATTTGCTGATGTTTTCCAGGTCATTTGTACAACTTACCTTCAACATCTTCACTGTGCATTTCTTCTCCACTGAAGAAGTATGTCTTCTCTCTGGAAGGAAAAATTTAAATATATCTCAATTCTCCGCACCGCGCCCATTGGCCATCAATCACCCGTGACCAATGGATTCCACCATTTTTATTTCACGCGCTGCCAAAATTCCAATTTGGCGCGCAGGACACGTTGTGCCATCTCGTGGATAGCCGAAGAACTACAACTTCGATTCCAACTTCTTTTTGCGCTTTCTCACAAGCCGGATTTCTCACCGACTTTTTCACCAAGTGTCCAGGTTAGGGCCCCTGGTGAGCTATCAGAAATTTATTTCTGCGCGACCGTGACACTTGTCAAAAATTATGTTCTGCTGATATTGGGGATTGCTACAAAAATAGCCTCAATCGCGCGATTTAACTGCTTTCGCTGCTTGTGTTTTGGATGGCAACAGCAGTGAGGACCGCGGATGATGCTCGATCTTTGATTTGAGCTACAGCGACGTTTCATCTCCGAGGTGCGGAATAGCGACAAGTGCTTGTCAGAGAGCATCATTCTAGCTTTCTAGGCTGTCCTGAGCTGGGGTACACAATTTTTGTGTGCCACAAACCGTAAAAACACCAGCAGAGGAAAAGTTCGAGCAGTGCTATGACAAACCAAGGTTTTGCGCAAAAACAAGTGCTGGAGGGCCGTCTTTGAATGGCATGACGCCACAAAAGCACACCTACCGACAGACAAAAAAAAAAGGACAGTTTTAGCTGTAGCTTTCTAACTCACAGAAGTAATAGTGGTGTGTATGGGGCACACTTCCGTATATTGTGCATCTTTAAAAATCGTATTATGATTTAATATAGCTGCAAATGTTTAAACTTGTCCTCATTTTTGCACAAATTCCAAGTTCAGCGTTTAAATTTGGCAAACTTTCTTCAGGCACTAGCACAAACCTTTTATTTTTTTCCTAAAGAGCAATTTATTAGCTACATTTTGATCTATGATAATTAATCGTATGCTGACTAGTAAAAACAACAAAAAATGTGTCCATCTTTCAGACATTACTTTTCCCCTTGGCACGGAAAGAGCAGCTCGTTTCGAGCTACGCTGGGTGTTCATTTATGAGCTTTTCTGAACTCGGAAGTTTGTTAAATATCTCGGGTGAAACATCCCCCGTCAAATTTCGATGCCCTGTGACGGTTTTTGTGACGCTCTTTCGTAATATTACACTCGTCTCATGGAAACCAGCCCTAAGACAGATTCTATGTAAAAAGATTGCTTGTCTCTTTGGTATATTTACAAAGACGCTGTAAATGCGTGGCACTTATACAGGGTGTTTTTTTTTGTTTTTTTTTAAAGCTTTGCAAATGTTTGAGATAAAAAGAAAAAGAAGCAAAGCCGTGAAATCTAATTATAGACTTGAGCGTGTTGGTAATCTACATTGAATTAAAACGAAAGAAACACACAAGAGGACGAAACAGACGACACAGCTTTCGACTTGCAACTACAGATTTACTGGGGCGGCTCGCCGCTCAGAGCTCGACTTGGGGAGGCGATGGGGAAAGGGGGAGGGGGATGAGGGGAGGTGTAAGAAACACAGGGAGACCGTTGCGGGGGCGAACACAGCGGGCGGTCGGGAGTCTGGTCCTCGGCGTGGTCTGGTCCGTGTCGCCTCTCTCGTAGATGACACCTCGCGTCGAAAGCTGTGTCGTCTGTTTCGTCCTCTTGTGTGTTTCTTTCGTTTTAATCCGTGAAATCTACACTAATGCGGTTTAGGCAGACGAGTTATACGACCAGAGGGACATAGTATAGAAAGGTAATCGTAACGACCAATTTGCTAATTAGCCACAATAGATTAAATGTTTTAAATATTGAAAATAAACATGAATCTAATTCGAAATTCGCTGAGCATCATTGAAAAGGTTCAAAGGTTTTTATTGGTTCAGACTTCCGTAAGACCACTACGTCAGTCAATATTAGAAAGACTTGTAGCACGTGGGAAGCACGGCGGAGCGCTAAGGGTACCACTCGTACAGGAAAAAGCAAGGCTACCAGTGCGATAACGTGCCCGCGCAGTTTTACCGTCTCGAATAATCCGCGCTTTTTTTTTTTTTTTTTTTCACACTGCAGCTTTGTGCCTGTTGCACGAGTGGTAACTTTAGCGAACTACTGCGCTTCCCATGCGCCCAAAGTATTTCAAAAAACTGATTTAGGGGTTGTCGATGATGCTCAGCGTGTTTATATTTTAACGATGTCTATTTTCACACATTAAAAAATTAATTAAATTATAGATGATTATTCGACTTATCGTGGCGACTAAATCTCTCTATTATCCCCCCTGGCCATATGACTCACCTGCACAAACTGCATTAGTGTAGGGTTGACGGCTTTCCTTAAAACAAATGTGTTGGGCATAAAACGAAACCCCCTGTATATCAACGCCCTGTTTCCAAACAAGCCCGCGTTCCCACGCCAGGTATGGACACTGCACGTGCACAGAAACCAGATTCGCGGGGAGTGACATCACAGTTTCATGTGACGACAAGGTGTCACGTGACAACCATCACGCTGATGATGTCATCTGGACTCTGTGGCGTCATCAGTGTGACGTCACCATGGAGGTTACGGACACGAAAGCGCTAAAGCGTGGCGCTATAAATATTGTGTGTTTAAAAGCTCGTTAGGGTATGAAACCAAAGCAGCACATCTCTAAACTAATCTACACCTCTGCCAACTCACATCATGGCGGAACTGGAGTTTATAAAATTGCCATCGCTCCTCCTTGCTCGGGACCATCGCGGGGAATCTTCTCCTTCTGGTTCAATTTCCAAGGTGGACTCTGCAAAGCAGGAGGCAAACACACGCTAGCTTGACTAATTTACGCAAAATTACTGTAACTTCTTTTTTTTTTTGGGGGGGGGGGGGGGGGGGTGGCGGGGGTTTGTTTTGAGTTACCGATTTTGGAAACGAGAATGTAGGATAAGCCATTCCACATAAAACTTGATTCCTCGGTGACAGAGTTTTACGTTGCCGTCTGTCAAATGATGGACACAGATATAAATGGCACCAGACATTATTACAAACTCGACATGATTGATCTTAATGGGCGCTTGTTTTTTAGCATCTTTATGTACTAGTCAAAGTGAATTGGAAATTAGCAAAATATAGCTGTTCTACGCTTCGCCTTCTAAAACGCAGAACCCTTTCCGAAATTCAGTGCCATCTGGTGGTTTGTAAAGCAGTTTAGGTTTTGCCATATCAATGGCGGAAATGAATTTGTATCAGCACCGTCACTTTCGCAAGTCAACGACACGCGAGGAATCTTCAGTGTGAGTTCTTTCTCGATCACTTTCAGTTAGATGGTGACCAAGAACCTATTCAGAACAAAGCTCGAGAAAATTCTATACGCGAAAGTGCTTTAAAGTCGATCGTGTGCCGTTCACAGCTAGATTGAATGAATCTGAGTCATTAGAAATAAACGCATACGTAGCTCTTGTGTTCCATTCCTACGTCGCGTCGTACTGACCCCCCGAGCGTACAAACCTCGCAAGATCGGCTTAGGGTCATCTTCAACGTCTTCCTTTATCAGCAAGGAGGATAGAAGGGTAGGAGAGGGCATGACGTCGGCCGCGTAGCCTCCACAAGCCATGCTCCCTTGACGCCTCGCCTCTTTCTCATTTTCCTCCTTACTCTCCTCACTTACCATGCCAACGCGACCACATCACGTGACCGTAGCTAGCCGTCGTCTTGCTATGGGGTACTAGAATACACCACAGTCTAGTTTTCGATCTGATAAAACCTATCGGACGGAGCGCGCGCAAGCCTGCAGGAATCCTCCTACAATCAACCATCCATCTCGCACGTGACATGTCACGCGCACCAATCACCAGACAGATCTGCGGTCACGCTGGGGACAAAATCGTTTAAACTTCTTATGACTAGGCTTCACCAATATTGCAACATGCCCACTCCTAGTACTTCTAACCTCCTTGTTTATCAGTCACTAGAAGGCCGCCATTGGTATGGCACAGATGCCGTTTCACAAATGATGATAGTGATCAAAGTGGCCAGACTGAATTTCGGAAAGGGTCTGTTCAAGCACTGCAAATCCCAGCCAATTGATTGCATTTCACGATGTCAGTTTCGTAAATAAGTCTGCTGTGCAATTTAATTCACTCCCGACAAGTGGAATCAATTTTAAGGGGCCCTGCAACGACTTTTTTACTGTTTCTTTTTTATTTTATTTGCATATTAAAATTACAAAAACAAGCAAAAAATAACCTTCTTCATGACGTCCTTGGTCCTCTGTACCCCTTTTTCCCGCGCCCACGGACCGCGGTGACTGAGGAATGTCGGGAGGGAGGGAAGACGGGGAAAGGAGGTGACGCCGAGGAGAGAGAGCTGCCCGGGAACAGGGCAGCTCTCTCTCCTCGGCTGACCGGGACCAAAAACGTCACGATTTCGTCACATGCCGCGCGCGTTCAACACCACGGGGCGCCCCCGTAGGAGGTCTTTACGTGCCCGCTGGGTTGCCCGATCCACATGAGACGTGGAAACCGCAAAAAAAAGGTAGACGCTTAAATAGGTTGTTAATTACGGGCTTTATGGCGCAAAGCTACTATGGCCATACTGCGCCATAGTAGCAATAGGATTGCAGGGCCCCTCTAAAAGACATTCTGCTAAATTGCCCAAGCTTTGTTGCGCCTGCAAAGTGCTCCTTTATTTCGACAACTTTCTTGCTGACGCTTAGGTTGTTTAGCAAAATAAAGGACGATCGGCTTCAACAAAAACGTCACGAAAACGTTTTTCAACGAAAAGAAGTTTTCTCCGTCTGACCCGTTCACCATAGCTCACCCTAGCTCGCGCTCGCTCTATCTGCCCTCCTCTTCTTCTATGCTCTGTTTCACTTTGCGCTGTTGTCGAATCATGGGAAGTTTCCAATCTTGCGCAGATAACCTAGGTTGTCCGAGGGACAAACGTAAACTTAATTTAGGCGTATGTAAAAAATTATATATATAATTCTTTTTGCAGGTATATTTTTTTGTTCACATGCTTTCAACTTTAGTTGCCTTTGTCTCGGAGCTATGTTCATGAGAAATTTTCCATGATTCGGCAACACAAACTGTGCAAGCGAGGGCGAAGCTACGAGCGCGAGCATGGGGCTCTGAACAGTGCTTGCACTGCACGAGCGCGCGTGGGGCAGGGACGCTGAAAGCCGCTATTCGACGTTAAATATTTAACAAACAGCGAAGAGAACTGTGGGAGTGTAGTTAGTCGTACTACACGTTTCGGCGCCTACGACAGGGAGTTTTAGTAGATCGTTCCGACACCTCCGATATCAATACCCGACAACCGTATTAAAAAAAAAAGTGATAAGTAAAATGCCTTAATATGAAAAATTAACCCTCAATCATTATAAAAGATTACATGTTTTTGCGATGCGATCAATGTTTAATTTTCAAGTGACGTGCAAACTTGTGTTGGCATCTGCTCAAAAGCAACATTTTGTATGCTACAAAAACCTGCTACAAGCACAGCCGAAATGCCGGGTATCATTATCGGAGCTATCAGAACGAAATACTAAAACTCCCAATAATCGTTAAAAAAAAAAAAAGTCTGAAAATGTGTTATTTTACAAGGGAGTTCGTCAGTGCTGTATTTTGGTATTTCGGTATTTCGAATCTTCCTTGCAGGCGAGGCAAGCGTGTGCAGCACTAGTACGCCATTGTTCCCAGCATTTTCTTTGTGCTTGGGCGATTTAATTTATTAACACCGTATCGTTTGAGGAAGCAGTTTCACCATCCACTGTAGTTTCACTCCAAATCGGGGTTATACGGTCGCACATAGAAAGAGAGTCAACCACGCCATGTTCTGTGGGAGTTAAAGAAAACACATATATATGTATATATATATATATATACACGGTGAGAAGGTTCAACGGGCCGGTTGGACGTAAAACGAAAGTTGAGGAGTTCCAGGAAAGCCTTTCAAGCAGGGACCGCTTTTCTTCAAGGTGGGATGGTGTCACCATCCCACCCTGAAGAAAAGCGGTCCCCGCTTGAAACGTTGGTGCAGTAAAGGCCTTTCTTGGAACTCCTCAACTTTCGTTATACGAGCTCATATATACAGGGTGTTTCAGAAAACGCAGGCCAAATCGTTCCTGCGAAAACTACTCATCGCAACGAAAAAAGGCTTGTGGCGTTGTGGTCCTGGGCCAGGAGCCCATTTAAGAAAATGATTAATGTCCGGGATAATTAACTTGTTAATTATTTTTGCCTAATTAACTTTTTTAATATTGTGTCTAAGGGCATGGTTTAAATTAGAAAATTGCTCAGCATCATCGAAAACCACTAAACCAACAAATTGCAGAAGGATAGAAGGCACGCGAAGCATTTTACGGCTTTCTGAAAAACCGCACTAATTCGACGGGTTTTTAAGTTTCGGTTTGTTATCGGAGCGCATCTCGGCCCCGGCAGCTTTGGGCCCCGTGGAGAGATAATGCAACCAGACTCTACTGCGTCGCGCGATGACAGCGCAGTAGAGGTTGGTTGCACTATCTATTCGCGGGGCGCGGTGCCGTCGGGGCGGAGATGCGCTCCGATAACAAACCGAAACTTAAACACCCGTCGAATTGATGCTGTTTTTCAGAAAGCCGTAAAATGCTTCGCGTGCCTTCTATCATTCTGCAATTTGTTGGTTTAGTGGTTTTCGATGATGCTGAGCAATTTTCTAATTTAAACCATGCCCTTAAACACAATATTAAAAAAAGTTAATTAGGCAAAAATAATTAACAAGTTAATTATTCCGGACATTAATAATTTTCTTAAATGGGCCCCTGGCCCAGGACCACAACGCCACAAGCCTTTTTTCGTTGCGATGAGTAGTTTTCGCAGGAACGATTTGGCCTGCGTTTTCTGAAACACCCTGTATATATATATATATATATATATAGAAACATTTTTTTAGAGTTCATCTGCCTTTTATCCCGAAAAAAAATTAACAAGATTCGTACCCCCCCCCCCCCCCCTCAAAACAAACAAACAATTAGTTGATTTTCGGAACTTCCCCCCCTTTTTCTTTTTTTTACACGGAGTAGTTTTGTTTGCTCTTTTAGGTTGCCCCGCGTGTCGTAATGCAGGCTCACTCGTCTCCTGGGGTATCACAAAGGGCCGACTCGGCTTGTCAGCGGTGTGTTGCCAGCTCTTGAGGCAGCTGGCCTTCGTTGCTCGCGGGTTGTCGTAGTGGTTGCTCTGTGCTCCTGGGGTGTGGGCGTCAGCCGCTTTCTCCTTCCGTTGCATGTCTCCTGGAACAGGAAGCTCTGCTCTCAGAAAGGGGCAGTGCGTCAATAAAGCGTACCATGGTAAACAAAGTAAGCTGAAGCGACCGAGCGGCGACCGAAAGATGCCGGTTGAGGTGTTGCGGAGTTTCCACTCCGGAGTTGGAAGGATTCCGGAATCATTCCTCACTTTCGCGACCCCGGAATTGAGTGGGAACGGGAATAGAATGACAGTCACAGCAGCGCTGAGTGGAATGGAATGGGTATGGGATTAGATGCCTTTTGCCCGGAATGAAGTGGGAATGGAATGGACCCGGTTCTTATGCGAGCTGTGTCGATCTTAATCTAGGTCCTACAGGCTGATGGCTCAATTCGCTAGCGTATGGTAAGTGGCTCTTGAAACAGCATCATTACACTGGAGGTGGCTGTCGGCTTGATTGTCTCACTCTCGTGAAACAACCAATACTGAATAGTTGTAGACGGACAGAATGTCGTTCCTGGCTCCACGAGACGCAATAAAGCGGCTGTAATAATATGCGAATTTCAGCTATGTCGAACCGAGCCCGAACCGAAAAAAGTCCAAGGACCTCTAAGCACTTGTGATGAGTTGTGAATGCGAAAGCACGAATGTGGTTTTTCCGCTCTCTTAGTTCGTCTGCGGCGTAGTGGCGTGGACGGCCACGTTTCACAACTGCTGAGGTAGCGGCCGACAGCCGAGCGCGCGCTCTCGTGAAGTGGCCGCTCCGCGCTGAGCTCGGCCGTACAGCCTCCTCCGGAGTTTCACTGAGCGGGCTGCGCGGCCAGGCCCGCGCCGCCGCACCTGTTACCGGCGGCTGGACCGCTGGGTGCGCTACGCCACCATAAAGCTTCTCTGATTTCGTTCTTTTTTTTAACTACGTCACGCGAGAGCCAATGAGAGCCTCGTTCCTTGATGACGCGCGCCAGCCAATGGGAGCCTATCCAGATTTCTGCTACAGACGACAGGCTTCGCTCCACTAAGACAGGGGAAGGTGTGGTTTGGCGCGGCTACGTCGGTTCGCTCCATGGGACAGTTAATGATTTCGCATTAAAACGGAGCAAGATTGTTATTTTTAACTGAACCGGAACAAAACTGTAACCCAAATCAAACCTTCGATATTGTTCCCGAAACGGAAACAAAACCGTAATCTCCGTAATCTCATGTGACGGTTACCGGTTAATTGGAAACGATTCGACGTGATAAAATGTGAGCAGCGCCTTGCAGGTTGTGGCGCGAAGCAAATATAAGAGTATACGACGGTGATTCGAGTAGCTCAGTTTTGACTGCACAAACGGCAGTGGCTACATCGAGACCTCCGTAATAATGAAACAAATAAGTATATTTCACGTCTATGTGCAGCATAAATTTGGCGTCGGCGTGGAGGCGTATACACTTCAATACTTTGTTTCACGTTATGATGGACCACAACAAATGCTACGAGCCACCGGAGTCAATGCACAGCATGGGGGGTGTCACGCGTCCTCCGAGTTAGGTGGACACGTCTCAGGACTTCGCGGGGAGCGCGAAGTCCTGAGACAAGCTACGCACTCTGCATTGGCTCGCGTAGCTTGTAGCGTTCATCGCGGTACACATCGTGAGGTGAAACGACTACGTCGAGGGGCTAAAGAGCTATTCTTTGTGCGTGTGTGTGTTTTCTTTCCTTGCTGCTAGGCAATAGTTCCTCAGGGAAGGAGAAAGCGAGCATAAGCATTAAATTAAAAAAAAAAGAAAGACGTTTACAAATCTCCGTAACGCGAAATTAGAGAGCTGCTTTTGAGGAGGTGGAGGGTATGCTCCTCCTCCGTATCCTTTCATCCTCCCCTTTTTATCCTCTCCTCCTCCTCCTCTGCTCCTCCTTCCCTCTTTTCCTCTTTCTCCTCCTCCTCGCTTGAGGTATCGGCGCAACGCGCGGTTACGCTTACGCCGACGTCGCTCAAACTGGAAACGGGCGCCTTAGAGCTGCGCTCTAGAACAAAATGTTGAAGGCTGTCGGCGCGTTTGTTCCACGGTGGCGAAATCTGGAGGCGCCAAGAGGCGAAGCCGCGACGAGCGCGACACTGCGGCGCCGGTTGCCGGGACGCCGGTCGCCCAGAGTGCATGAAGAATTTGTGTGTGTTTATGTGTGTGTGCGTTTTCTAGAAACAGCAAGTCGCCCGTTGTCTTTTGTGTCATTTTTTTGTTTTAATCGTCTTCCGTCGCTGTCTTTTTCCTCTTCAAGGCCGACGTATAACCTCGGTTTTCTGCAGGGAAGATAATTCTCTTAGCTCTCCCCTCTCCTAAACTGCGAGGAGAGCCATGTTGGGGCAAGGTAATAAGTGGAGACGCTATAGGAAGGGAGGAGGCGGGGAAAAGTGGAAACAGCGAAGTGTACGTCGGCCTTTAAAGCCGGGAACACATTTGCGAAAAAAAGCCGAATTTTGTGCGAAAACCGCACACGAAAATCGCACGGCAGCTAGGCTCCTCCCTTGCCCCTCCCCTTTTCCGAAAATCGGGAGCGGTTCGAAAGATCTAGCTGCAACGCCAGATATTTTCGCACGGCACCTCTGAATTCGGGGTGGAGGAGCTCGGTGAGGTGAGCGAAAGCCCGGAACAGGACGGAACGAAAAGATACAATCGGCTCGCAACATGGCGGCTCACGCAGCTTCGGAAGCAGCGCAGGCAAGATCGAATGCCATCCCTGCGTTCTAATCTCAACCTTCGTAGAAAACCCCTTCTGTCTCTATCAAAGTGTGGTGGTACAAAGACTCGCGTGGCATTCAACGAGTTTTTAATAGCTTAAGTTTTTAAGAGGCGCGAAATATGGGACGCCAGTTCGCCAGACTACCGCACAGCCTCCTGATGTTGGAGCACGAAAACCGCAGTGCATTGCGATCTCCGCGCCGCGCATTCCACCTCATGTAGCTCGTCTTCCGAAAATCGCAAGCTACGATTTTCGCAGCCTCCGATTTCTCTCCGATTTTCGGTTCGTTTTTCCTAACTCAGTTGTTCGGGCGTGCGGTGTGGGTAGTTTGCCGTTTCGATCTGGATGTTGTTTTGAACGTTCTTTATTGCCCTGTTAAATATATATATATATGTTTTGTTTTGCTGCCCTTGTTTCGCAGCACGGCTTCTGATGACATATATTTGACCATATGACGCTGTGTTGAACTCACCTTTTACTCTTAACGACTCGGAGCTGCGGACTTTTTTTTTTTTTTCTTTAAGAACCGGTTTGAACACGTTTGGTAAACTGGTAACCGAACCGTTATTTCAAAAGCACCGCTGAACGAGAACCGAACCTGAACAAAATGGAAATCTAGTGAACCCGAACCGAACCGGAATGATGACCGGTTCGACTCCCTGCTTTAACCCGCCTATCCTCTGGTGTTTGCGTAAAACACAAATAAAGAAATAATATGTGAAATCGCAAGAATCGCAGAGCGAATGAAAGTTTACGTTTTAAGGCCGGTTCCATAATATGGTGCTACAGTGTGCTAGCGCCGTATACCGACAACTATTTGTCAGCGGTTTTCTGTTGCCGCGGTGGCACTCAGTTGGTCGAACGACTTTTTTAGCGAACGCCGACTTTTCATCGAAAGACAGTTTAGCGAATAATCAGCCGCCGCGAAGCGGCTTTTACGAGTGGGCCAAGTGGGTTAACATTTTTGTAATGAGCCGCCGCAGACTGTCGTCGCGAAGCGGCGTGAGCGCAGCGCGGGGTGGTGGGTTAACACGCGCTCCTGTTATTCGTCAAAACTTCGATTCGCTCAGATGGCTCTGTTCGCTAAAACGTCATTCGCTCATCTGATATGGACCCGCGCAAGTGTTCGAAGCAGTGATTAAGATAGCTGCTTCTTGCGCCACGCACGAACTAGACATTTTTAAGGTCTTATCAAACGAACAACACGCTAACCATGTATCTCTGGAGTGCATACTGTCCGTTTGCGAAGAAAATGGGTGGCTTTAATTTTTGGCGTCTGTTGCGACTGGCTAGCCTTTTGCTCTTGATCGCGCGATCGATGTCTTCAGTGAAACCAAGCGCCACAAAGCGCTTTCTGCAACCAGCCTTCGGCGTTGCTTTGAGCAAGATTTATTTATATTTTTGCAGTCGTCTCCGCGTTTGATGACGTCAACAGTTTTATGCTGCTTTTTTCAGTAACGCAATGTGTCTGTCAATGACCATTTCTTCACTATTATTAATTAGAGGAATGGGGTGAAAGAGTTCGGTCATTCCAGGAGTGGGACTGGGCTCAGTGTCTCCATTCCGAGGATTTGAAAGGAATGAATTGTCGGAAACTCCAATTTCCCGGAATGGAATTGGAATGGAATGGGGGGAGGGGGGGGGGGTGCTAATTCACTGGCCGGTTGCACAGTCTCGAAGCGAGCATAGTTGAACCATGAACGAGACATAGCATGCGTCAGGATATTGCACTGGCATAATACCTGACTCAGCAGGATCGTGCTTGAAAACTGCGCGCCTCTGCTTCACATGTGAGCTGCTGCTGCCGGACACGCGCTTCTAGTTATAAGGGTTTTGTGATGTCGGGTATATTGTGCCCATAAACCCCAAGAATCAACCCGCGCGCCGGTGTTATTGAAGCTCAGAACGCCGAAATAAAACCGAATTAGAACTGTCCTTGTAGAAACAAAGAAAAAAAACAGAATAAAAACAGGGATAACATTTTATGCGCCGAGAAAGTGAGGGAGAGGAGGCGACGAGTGCGCGTGGGGATGTCGGAACGCCGAGTTCTGGTTGGAGTGAATCGTGGGTAGACCTAAAGCTAGTTGCCTTGTCTCCATTGCACTCGTCGAGCGCCTTCGAGTGCAAGAGCCGAACGCCGGACGAGTGCAGTGGACTCTATAGGTAGACTTTAGGTCTACCTAGAGTCATTGGATTCAGTGACTTTAGGTCTACGTAGAGTCACTGAATGTTCCCAGAGTACCGAAACCTTCAGGCTCGAGGCGCCAAAGTTGCGACTCAACCTTATTTCTTTACCGTGGTCACCATTAGCTTTAGAAAGCATGTTTCTACGTAAAAACAAACGCAAAAAGCTCTTTTTGTAGGACATATTATTGGAGATTAGTACAGAATGACAGGAGCGCGATGTTATCATAAATTTCTATTTTACAAAATTTGGCGGCAAAATGTTCTCTTTTTTCTGTACAATTATACATATCTCACCGGTGACTTCAAGTAGCGCGTCCCGACCTGAGCGCCTCCTAACTTTGGTGAAGAATTGAGGTGCGTCCGCATGGGAGACGGGGTTTGGCAGCCCTTCTACTGGATACCTTTCGGCGCCAAAATGGCCCATCAAAGCCGAAATTGAACTGTAACAGCGGATGCTATCGAATGCAAAACCCTGGCAATATACGGTGATTCTAAATTCTACCCACTAATCATTCCAATCAGAGCTAGGCGTTCTGACGTCCCTGCGCGCTCTCTTCTCCTCTCCCTCGCATTCTCGGCGCATAGTAATATTTTGTTGATGATGCAATTAATGAAAGGTGCAAGCGAGCGACAAGAGTGACGATAATAATCCCTGGAGAAAGCGAACAAGGGGAACAAATGACAAACACAAATCTCCAAACACAGCTAGGGGACTGATGTGCGACCGAAAAAATTCGCCTGGTCCTGGTATTAAATCAGGGACCTCTCCATTTCCAGTGGAGCGCTCAACCAATTAAGCTAACCAGGAGTTAGACGTCAGTAGCGCAAACGGGTTTTATCAACTGCCAGCAGTCTACAGTGTTGTACGGAACGGTGTTCCTTTCAGGAGGAACGAAGGAACGCCGCCGTTCCATTTTGCCTGGCTGGAACTGGAACGGGAACGCGTTACATTTTTACTGGAACGGAAAGAGTAACGGCGTTCCTTTTTTTTCGTGCAGTGGGGTAATTGTTATCCTATTTCCAACAGGGAAAATTTGAAAGCATAAAAACAATATCTTTACGAAGTGCAGGATCTCGTTACGTTTTTGGCTACTAGTCTTACGGATTATTTTGTGTGGTTTTCGCTTGCTAACAGTTTCGGGTGCAGGAGAGCTGGTGGACATGGATTGTTTTTTGAGTGCCCGAAACTGCGGTACAAAAAGCAAGGCTTTTAGTCATAGGAGACGACAAGGAAAGAGGGTCGTTTCAAACTCAGCTGCTTTCTTTGGTTCCACGAATCCTCATACACCCAGAAATCTAAGGCCGACTACAGCCACTTGTGAACTTCCATAACGAGACCTAGAGTTACAACAAGATCACAGATTGCCAAACATCGAACGCACCCTTGTATCGCGAACATTGGTCACTTAAAAGATACACAAAAAATAACCTTTATTTCTTCTCTTTTCCCCCACCTTCAAAATGAACAACGAAGCCAACGTTATAAAGAAGTATTTGTAGTTTTTAAGTCTGACCTTCCAAAAGCCCTCCAGTCTCCTCCAGTCCACTTGCTCGTCTTGCGGACAGCAACATCGAGAAGCAACGGTTGTTAAGTTCGAACAAGGGACTTTATTCCATTGCAACATGTGAGGTTGTTGTAAAACGCTCGTACAATGTTGGGTAAAAGTGCATTCGGCTCCTCTGAATCGTCCACTACAAACATGAATATGGTTAAAAGCTGAGATTTTTAACTTGAATATATTAACAAATGAAACCCTGCCTCCGCTTGTTTTCTTCTCCTGTTGCCCTTCCATGACGACATACAAACTTGTATGTTGACTACTAATGGGATAGATAAAAAAAGACTGCTTGATTTAACTAAACATAGATATAATTATCAAAAATACAAATGTAACATATATGTAACGATACGTTATATTTTTTAAACTGTAATGGGAACGAGTTCCTTTTTCACAAATGTAACTTGTAACGGGAACGCCTTCCAGAAATCAGAAGGAACGAGGAACGAGCTTTCGGTCCTTTTTTGGGGGGAACGTGTACAACACTGCCAGTCTACCACCAACAAGGGTGAACGGCCTGCATTTTAAGGGTGTGATGATAATGCAATTAACGCAGAGGTGCAAGCTAACTGGACAAGAATATGACGATAATAATTCCTGGAGAAGAAGAACAAGGGGGACAAGAGACAAACACAAAACTCCAAATACAGCTAGGTGACTGGTGCGCGACCGACCTTGTTCCCCTTCTCCAGGGATTATTATTGTGTTGACAGCAGAAGAGATACAGGCGGCATTAAAGTGCCCGCATAAAGGCATTATTTATTTTTATTATTATTATTTTTGTTTAAAAAGGGGGGAGGAAATGGGCTACAGCCTTTTTTTTTACGATTCCTTTTTTTGTATGGGTTTTGAACGATTTCTAAGAATTTGGTTCAGGCGCATGTTTCATTAAGGTGGGCGATTCCCCACGACCGTGCCCTGTTTTTTTTTTTTGTTTTTTTTCTTGACATATGTGCACCCCGATGAAGTCCAATATTTTTCCAAACCTGAAAATAGACACCGAAAAACACCGACTTTTTGGGAAAAAAATAAACCCGAAAACAATGAGCCCTAGTTATAATAGAGAGAAGGCTGTGTCAGCAGTGGCCACCGCATCCTTTTCCGTAGATCAACCTCTCTTGTCGAGGCAGCGTCACCGGTATATTTCCGTCATCGCTCGGTCGTTTCAGCTTACATTGTCCACGACTGTTCCTCAATAACAGCCGCCTCGTGCGTAGGTGCTGCACTCACCCTCGGCACCCATCAGCTTTTGTATGGATGTTGGCCTCTTGACCCTTGTGTTGGGAATTGGCTGATCCTGCGGGACGTTGGAGTAAAAGGAAATGATTCAGGCTTTACTCCGGTGCGAAATAATAAGCGTGACAAAGCGACAATCTCAATAAAGAGTTTGTTTGTCTCGTGTTATTTTCACCCACGGGCATTATTTTACGTTCACTTGTCCCCATCGTACACTTCAGGCTCATTTTTGACTGCACGACTGGTAGTTTTTGAGGCAGAATTGAATTTGATCTACGGCGATTTCGCGCGATGATGGACTCGATATTTAGCGCACCTGGAAACTGCATTGAAAAAAAGACGCAATTCGTAAGTGGGCTGAAAGTAAGCTTTTCTATTTTAAATCCGCAATTCAGTGATAATTCACATGTAGACGAGCTCCGCTCTCTCAAAATGATTGGCCGATAGTTATCGATGTCGTCTTAATTTAAACCATGTTCTTAAGATTTTTTGGGAGTCTTTAGGGATTGAGTTAAACCATAAGGCGTTTGCTTATCTGGCATAATAAAGCGACGTTTGCTTCACGTAGTCGAATGGAAGTTTACTTGAAGCTATTTATAGTATTGCATTTATTATTAGCGATTGCCGAAGAAAAGATTATGTGAAAGAGCAAAGAGCGGTGCACAAAAGCACCCACGTCTCCAAACGCCATGTGTTTGGCGTTTGGAGTGAAGAGCGAACGCCAAATACATGTTTAGAGATGCGTGCACGCGGGATTTATTTGATCGATTGATGCTGTCACTCCTCTTAAATTGGAACAAATTATTATAGTGTCAACGGACAAGTTACCAACACTAGCAGTTGCTAAACAAAGCTTGATGCATAAGCCCTTCATGATGCAATCCTTAGACCACTTCATTCACCTCATTCAATTATTAGAATCGGTTCAAAACGAATCTGCACGTTTTATTCTCTTTTCACTATTCTAGTGCACTTCTATCACTTCTATCATTATCTTTGCCTAATCTTGCTTTACGCAGACAACTTTCCAGCTTGTCTCTTTCATAAAATTTACTATCATTCTGCCTCGCGTGAAAACCTACTTAGAGCGCCGTCATATATTTCCCGTCGATTAGATCAACATAAGGTGGCGTCCTGCCTTTAACACGAATGCAGCGTTCTATTCGTTCATCCCTCGCACTTCTGTGGAATGGAACCACCTTCCTCACCATATGGCAACCTTACCTGACCCAGTTGCGTTCAAAAATGCCTGGTCTTTATGTTGTTTTCTGATGTACCATAATTGTTTTTTTTTTTTTTTTTCAGTTTTGTTTTTTTATGTGCTCACCACTCCACTCTTTAATGTCTTTTGACCCTGAGGGAACGTAAGTAATAAAAGAAATACAAATACAAATTCGTAAAACTTTTCGGCCGTCCCGTAACGCTCTCCAGAACACACCTACGAGATCCGGAGCTTCGCAGACAAAGCTAGCGGCGCTCATGCGCAGTAGCCATCGAACGGGGAAAAACGGTCTACGAAAACTTTCTGTTACTAGAGACTTTTAGTAGATTGGTCCGATACCTCCGATAACGATACTCGATAACGATACTCGATAACAATACAACGCGCGCGCAAAGGCGGCAGTGGCGGCGGTGGCGGAGAATCGGTTGTCGTTATCTGAGTCATCGAAACGGTCTACTAAAACTCTCTAGTGATGAGGTTACGGTTACCGCGGTTATTTTCCGGTTTTGGTTCCGTTTTCAGTTTATCGCCCGATCTAATACCGTGTTACAGAAAAAATTCGGCTCTTGATCAGTTTTCGGCTTCTGTTCAGTCCCTGTGCCAAACAGCTATGGGCCTACCTGGGAATGGCATAAAGTGCGCTCATTTATTTATTTTAGAGCGCAGCTCTTAGGCGCCCGTTTCCGGCTTGAGCGGCGTCGGCGTCGCCGTCGCCGTCGGCGTAACCGCGCGGTGCATTATGGGTAAATTTCCCCGCTAAATCTAGCGGAAAAATTTCCCCGCTAAATCTAGCGGAATATTTTCCCCGCTAAATCTAGCGAAAAAATTCCCCCGCTAAATCTAGCGGAATATTTTGCCCGCTAAATCTAGCGGAAAAATCTCCCCGCTAAATCTAGCGGAAAAATTTCCCCGCTAAATCTAGCGGAATATTTTCCCCGCTAAATCTAGCGGAATATTTTCCCCGCTAAATCTAGCGAAAAATTTCCCCGCTAAATCTAGCGGAAAAATCTCCCCGCTAAATCTAGCGGAAAAATTTCCCCGCTAAATCTAGCGGAAAAATTTCCCCGCTAAATCTAGCGGAATATTTTCCCCGCTAAATCTAGCGGAAAAATTTCCCGGCTAAATCTAGCGGAAAAATTTCCCCGCTAAATCTAGCGGAAACACTTTCCCGCTAAATCTAGCGGAATAATTTCCCCGCTAAATCTAGCGGAAAAATCTCCCCGCTAAATCTAGCGAAAAAATTCCCCCGCTAAATCTAGCGGAATATTTTGCCCGCTAAATCTAGCGGAAAAATCTCCCCGCTAAATCTAGCGGAAAAATTTCCCCGCTAAATCTAGCGGAAAAATTTCCCCGCTAAATCTAGCGGAATATTTTCCCCGCTAAATCTAGCGGAAAAATTTCCCGGCTAAATCTAGCGGAAAAATTTCCCCGCTAAATCTAGCGGAAACACTTTCCCGCTAAATCTAGCGGAATAATTTCCCCGCTAAATCTAGCGGAAAAATTTCCCCGCTAAATCTAGCGGAATAATTTCCGGCAGAAGTATTTGAGCGACAATCTCAAGGCGAAAACAATTGCGCTTTTCTTCACTAAAAAACTGCATGCCTAAACGCTTTGCTTGCTGATGTTGTTTCGAGTTGCTGATCGAAAGCGACAATCATTTCTGTTCACAGGAAACTTCCGCGATGTATCATGCGCCACGCATTACAAGCGAACCCTGTTTCCGTATTAGCTTAGCTCGGAAGGAGCAGCCTGAACCGAACGGCTATTGTACGGCTATAAGCTTGTGGCCGACCTTGTAATGGTCGGCAAAACGCCTATAGCGCGACCATGTAATGCTTGCATTGAGCATAAAGTGGCGCCGTATAGTGTTGGATAACGGTGATAATTGTCAGGGTTGTTTACAAGCGTGTGTCAGCATCTGTTTACGTCCGGTGACAAAACGGATGAAAGAGCAAAGAAAAAAAAAAGTTTAAATAAACAACGGATGGGTGCTTTATCAAAACGATAAGAATGCTCTTCTTGATTTTATTTTGTTTTTGTTATTTTTCTAAAATTTGCATAAACTAATGAAATTCTGCCAGCTCGCCGCTCAAGCATGAAAACTACACGGCTATCGCGTCGTCGCAGTGTCACGACACCGTGGAGGCAGCTTGCTTTAAAAAATACGCCCCCCTCCCCACACACACACACACACACGCCAAAAGAAATTGTTATATCGTTGTGAGTTTTGTTCTGATTTAGGTGCGATGCCATAACATGTTTCTATTTTGAGTCGTTAACGCTGATTTGTACACATGCCTCGGAATTGGTGAAGTGAGTCTTGCGACAAAAAATATTAAACTAATATTTCTTTATTTCTTCTTAATTCTTTTCTTTGGGGGGAGGGGGGAGGGGGGGGGGGGGGTAGCTCAGTGTTTTTTTAATACAAAACGATTCCGATATAAGGCGGCACTGGAATCGCTTCCGATGCACTCTTGAAGCGCCGAAGGACAGTCACCGAATGATTTATTTGAGATTAAGAATTCATTTTGTACCTTCGAGTGCTAATACTCGGCGTAGACATTAACCCGAAACAAATTGATCCGAATGTTAAAATCGTTAAGTGATCTCCGAATGCTACTTCTAATTTCTCCCAATAAACCGTTTTCAAAAGACAATCAAGCAGTACGTGTGTGTGTGTAGGCATTGTAACTGGAGACTGGGGCGGAAGGGAAGGGCCAGTTGTATTGGCGGTCACCACTGCTCGCTCGCAAAGCACGTGATGGGATCCGAGTCTTCGCCGAACACTGACGCAGCGCTCGTGTCCATCGCGTGATCAGAGCATGGGAGCAAGCAATGGCGGACAAGCGTTGCCCCGGTCTTTTAAAAAATGGTTTATTGCGGCATATCGTGCACCATGAAACGTGCGAGCGCATTATTCGTTAATGGGACCTCGCACATCCAGGGAAAAATTGGCGGATACCCGCAAACACGCAATGGCACCGACGGACGCGGGCAAAACTTCATTCATTCACGCGGGTATAGCGGATCGGACGCTAATACCTCTACTTACACGGTCACCTTTAGCCGCTGTTAAGAGTGACTGAGGTCAGACTTCGCTGCGGTAAAGGTGTCCGATGGGCATCCTAAAATGAAGTTAGGCTTAAGGATGGTTAGCAGGTACTGCCAACTCTACCCCAGTTATACGGGCATTCTTAACCGCAGTTAATACCCTTGTTACACGGGCGCACTTAACTGCAGTTACGCTAAACCACAATTAGCGCACAATACTTGCCGACAACATTCTGCGGCGATGCAGTCAGAGCTATGGGCGAACGTGCGCTTGAGCATCTTGAGCACGCATCAAAGCAGTGCACGCGCCCTCTTCACTTCTTTTGAAATAGCTGTCCGAGGGTATAGTGCGGCATCTGTGCTGCCACGTAGCCGCAGTTAAAGCTGAGTTAACCGCGGTTAAGTGTGCCCGTGTAACAGGGGTATAAGTCTGATCTCCGCCACACTTAACTGAGGTTAAGGCAAACCGCATCTGCTTAACTTGACGATTCATTCATTCAACTGAATATTTTTATGCTGTATTAATTTTGAGGTACACGCAATGAGTGCTTTTCAGTGAATCCAGTTTTAGAAAAAAAAAGTGGTGGCCATAAAAAAATGTGCGGTTTCCCTGAAACACGTATCGGAAACGTATAGTTGTCAAACTATCGTTTTGTTGTAGGGACACTGACACCCCAAAGGTCGTATTTTTTTTATTGTCTAAAACGATGCAAATTGTAGTCATAGACAAACAAAAAATTCTCGCAAGGCAAAAAAAAAAAAAGTTTTTTTTCCCCACGCGCCTTTTTATTTTTGGCGTTTTTCTCTCTCGCTCCCTAGGCTCCTCGCTTCTTTTGATCTGTGACGTCAAATATCATAAAATATAGAAGCTTTGTAAGCGACATATCATTAACATTTCATAACGGCATTCGTAAAAGATGTTTTTTAAAGCAATTGGAACGCACTACGGCCCTTCTTTCTGAAATACCGAAAATCATAGTCCGGTGTGATGTCGCCTCCTGGATTTTTATCCTCCCTCGGAAAGCATGGCGGCGCTCGACGCATGTAGCAGAGGATGATCGGTGAGTCGGGGAATCTAGGAAGTGGTGTTTTTTAGGTGCCCAACGACCTCTCAGACTTCGAAGAGGAAACCGTCAAACGGTCAAAAGAACTGGGTTTGGTGTCTGTGGATCGTAGTTTCGTTTGCGACTCCGCCGGGGGAGCCTTCAACGCAGAACCGGCGAGACGTGGCCCCTCGCGTTGCTCACAAAAGTCCACTGCGTGTTCTCTTCGACCTCACATTGTTTCAAAGAATTTGAGATCGCTGAAAGCGCCCTAAAAGAAGTTCAAAGTCGAAAGGGCACGCAACCCGAGGAAACCGGTTGTTCCCGGCGAACACGACACTTCGGGTCGCGGGTCGCGGCGCGCGGCGGCAACGGCGGTTCAGAGCGGAGGCAGCGGGGACGCGAAAAACTCAACTTGCATCCCGGTTCAGTATTTGACGTCACGGCATAGGCGCGAATCGCACGAGAATTTCAAATTCGCCATTTGGAATTTTTTGTTACCTCACAATTACTGAATTCCCAAGTTTCCAATTTTTAGGGTGATTTCCAGGCATCGTTCAATCGTTTCGGATAATTAAAAAAAAAAAAAAAAAAGATTTTGACGTGTCAGTGCTTTTTTCTAGTTAAAACACGCCATTGTAAACCAATCACTCACCTGTGGTTTTTTGAGCACTATTCTGCCATTGTTCGACTTGCTATGATTGTCTGGAAACGGCGTGTAGGTTGATATGTCGTCTATGGAACCTGCGATTGCAAACCGGAACATGTGTAATAAATGGTGTGTTGTGTCTAAAGTATATGCTACTTTCGAGGCTAATCTTTGAAAACACACTGAAAAGGGATACTGAAGCGAAATTTCTAACTCACAAAACAGGGCTGGAGCGATAAACAAGACACTGCAAAACCCCCAATACACCTGTGATACAACGATATCTCTAACAGATGGCCATATTTTTGAAAAGAAATGCGCGATTGAAAACGGCCGACGAGGCCGGCGAGACAAGTCACTTCACGATTATTATGTTCCCGTCCTCCTCGCTTCGTCCCGTCCAGAGTTGGTCGAGCTGGTGAACTGAAGCGAGGAGGAGAGAAGCGAGAAATTTTCCGGGAGGATCGTGTCGTCAGAGCACTCGCTTGATCGCGCCCTTCTTTTCCGAAAATTACGGCCATCCGTCTGAGATATCAATGTATGAGTGAGTTTTTGGAGTTCGTAGCATCCCGTTCAACGCTTCTGCGGCCGTATTTTGCGAAATCCAAATTTCGGTCCAGTATCCCTTTAAAGAAGCACCGCCACTGCTTAATAGGGAATCCACTTCGAATTTCTGACAGTTTTACTTATCACTAAATCCTACGTTTAGTTTAGTTTTACTACAATTGGTGACACGTTAAGAGTAAAGTGGAAGTTCCTCCCACTTCTTTTCAATTTAGCAGAGCAAACTTTCCGCTTTGCTAAAGCGGAAAAAAGGAGGTTCCCCTTTACTCTTAACCGATGACCGACTATAGACGCTTTACACACGCGCCAGATTACAACCGCCATTGCCGACCTTCTCTTGCCTTACCGAGATACCCAGCAACTGAAACAGGTGATGACGAGCCTCCACGGGGGCCAATGCTGGGGAGAAGGACGCAATAATATCTAAAATGGCAATGACCTGGCCTGCAACGGTAATGACGAAGTGAAGTAAACGGAATAAGATGAAACAAAACAGAAGGTCGGTTATGGCGGCGCCCATGCACAGCTACTGCAAAGCGTCTATGGTCACTAAAAGCTACGTTTTCTCTTTATTCTCATTTCTTTTTTTACCTTGTTGCAACATTTGTCGCTTATAAATTCGAATTTTGCACGTCGCATGGCATAATACAAGATAAGATTATATAGGGTGTTTTTCGGAGCGTCGGCCAGATCGTTCCTGCAAAAAGTACTAATATCGCGCAGAATAGTTAATGTCCCATTGTTCTCTGCCAAAGGGTGTATTGGAGAAAGTGAATAACGTTCGCTATTATTAATTTATTGATTACTTTTGAGCGACTAATTTTTTTATCAGTAACCTAAAAGTTATGGCCTAAATTATAAACTTTTTAGGCCTCATTCTAGACCACTAAATTAGCCCACTTTACAAAAAATATAATACACGCGCAACATTCCACGGCGTTCAGAAAGAAGACAAAAAAAAAAAAAAGAAACGCTGCGTTTAAACTCGCAGTTAGAGTCCCGCACAATGAAAGATTAGTTGCGGATACCAGCAAGCAAAGCATGACACCAGCGAATGCGGGTAGAACTGTCTATTTGTTGCCGCACCAAAAGTTCACAGTCCCTGGTGGGCAAATCAAGGAGCTTCGAAAGTAGGTTATGCTCGTGAAGACGTTTCGCTGTAGTCGCCCACATGAAGGGTGCCACCTTCCTAGCGAGTCGCACATCGCCGACCGGAGCGCCGAGACGTTCTCACTCTATCGGGGGAAGGGAAAAAGAGGCTCTCACTGATGCTCTGTCGGCCCTGCGTTGGCGTGGCGACGGGGGCGACAGCTCTCCTGGAGGGCGACGCCAGGTAGGAGCCCGGGCGCGACGACTGGAGCGTGGACAGCACGTTGTCCAGGCTGGCCCGCTTGACGAGCGCCGACTCGGCCAGCTGGTCAGCGCTGGCGCACCGCATGCCCACGGACTCTGCAACGGCCCCCGGAGAGGGCATTTCATCGTGTATAAAACCAAGTTGGGAACATTTTAGTGCGTTTGTGCGTGCGTGTGGCACGCATGTATGTGAAAGAAAGAGAGAGCGAGAGAAAGGGGGAGGTTAAAGAACATAAAACCGGTAGTCTATTTATGGTCATAACTCAAACTAAGCTTTAAGCATCCTTGAAAAAAAAAAAAAAAAAAAAACTTATGCGTGACCGATTTTTTTATTAACACTGGTATCAAAAGATCGACACCATATGACACCACTGGACGAGGAAGGGAAGAGCCCTACCCATCGTTGTTTGACAGCGCCCTCTGATGTCTTCAGTAGTTCCGAGCTAATCGATCTATTAATACCAGTTTTAATAGAGAAATCGGCCAAGCGTAACTATGTAATGTTTGGTTTCGTAGGGTGCTTAGAGCCCATAGAGTGAGTTTTGATCATTAAGGGGCTATCATAGAGAGTAGTTGAGTGCCCCTTTAAAGCCGCAATCACTCTGTTCATACATCATATAGAAGACGCGGTGTCCGCAGCGGGGACATAAGGGCTGAATTACCTTCGGAGACGCCTCAACCATTTTCGAAGCTTCTTTGCTTTATATATATGCTCGCATCAAATATATATGAAAGCAGTGTTTTTATGACGAATGTGGAAAGTTCGTCATACCTGGGGAAACGATCGCCTCCCCAGATATTAAAAAAAAAGTAAATAATACGGGGGAAGGGGGCGGAAAGTCGCTCTTGGCTCCCACCGCCACGACCGTCGCCCCCCTATTTCCCCAATAGTTCCGACGACTCTGTAATAATAAAAATAATAAAGGAGGAAACGTTCCTTAGACGGTGTCTGCAGACTGTCTTTTGTATGATGTATTGGCAGTGAGAGCGCAAGATACAAAGGCGAGGAGCGAAAGCTATGGCCCCCTAACTCAGTCAGGGTGTCGACACACGTAGCATACCGCAGGAACCGCCTCGTATAGAAGACTTACGTGCCTCGCTCGGCGTTTCAAAATGGCTCAAAGAGCTTCGCATTCACTCTTTGCCAAGCTAAGCTGATACGGTGTGTAATCTGGGCTATGCCTATCAATATCGTTACAGTTAGAATTTAGCTCATATGCAACTTTTTTTTTTATTCGAAAAGTCATATAGTTACTATGCACTGCGCAATCCTAGATGCCTCCGAGAGTGCGAGAAACGAGTGAATTGAGCTCTGGACTCGCGAAAATTGGGGAGCCTCCCGCTGACCGTGTTCCTTGGGGAAGCCGTCTCCCAAGGTCCGGCGCCTGCAGCACAGGTAGGCGAGCACCATGGCCGCGGCGGCCAGGGCAAGGCTGAGAGAGCTGGCCACCGGCACCAGCAGCGACAGCTCGCCGTCGGTTTCGGAGCCCGCGTTGACCACCATCAACTCCGGGTGCACAGTGGCTGCGTTTAGGAACACATGCCGCGGGAGTGCCGTTATTATTAGGTTCCGAAAAATGATTCTTGGTTAAAATGTCCATCGAGACGAAATGTTTATTGAGTCAAAATGTCTAATGTTGGACATTTTGTCTCTATTAACATTCCGCCTTGATGAACGTTTTGACCTGGATGGACATTTTGACTCGATCGACATTTAGTCCCAATGGACATTGTGACCCATTAGACAGTTTACCTGGGTGACTCGTATTTTAACACTGGTGCTAATAACGACTCTTTAAATGTATATATGTAATATAAACACAGGCGTTCTTGCACGAACGGTCATAGTCTGACCTCTTGCACAGATCTGAGTGACTTTTTAATTTTGTGACAAACCATACTTTCCTGTGCCGGATGTAAAGGAGAGAACAGTTTTCTCTATTCGAAAAATAAAACAAACATTACATTTAAAAGGTTAAAAGCGCGAAACAAGACAAGGACGGAGAAGAAACACACACGACCCAGACAGGCGCTAACTTGGAGCCGGTTTTTTACCACACTACACTTGTAAGATGCTAATCCCGTAGATTAGCTCTTCCAAGAGCTAATCTCCGGGACGACTATCCGTAGATTAGCTACGTCGACTTAGTTACGAAGATTGTCAATTTGTTTGCCGTCTTGTCTGACAGAAGTTCACCTGGGAGCCTACGAAGGACCAGGGCATCCAGTTTTTAGATCTGCAACTTGCATTTTGTGAGAGTCACGTGTGTTGGTGGTACAAACAGCGTTCGAGAAAAAGACTTTCCTCTTTTGACAGTGCTCACTCAAAGTTGATAGAAAAAGGCATAGCCTGTTTCTGCCTTCAGGCTGCCTTGTCAAAACGTTTCCATCACGAAGTAGCGACCAGTTTGAACCATCAGATAGAGCGCTTAAACAATCCAGGTTTCAATGCCTGCTTGATTTCCAATGTGTGTGAAAGCATCTTTCAAAGAATCAAGCGTCACGCCAGTACAGATGATGCTCAACAAGACAAAGTTCAGAAATCGAAGATCCAAGTGATTCCTTATTTGCATAGTGTGTCACACAATCTGAAGAAGGTAGCTCTAAAATACGAAGTTAATGTTATTTTTTCTGAGCCGTGCAAGCTGGCAAAAGTTTGTTCTATGATGACAGAGGAGAGGAGTGTCGAGTGCTCGAAGAAGCATGTTACACACTTTACGGCCTGCACATCTAATGTTGTTTACGAGATACCGCTAACATGCGGGCGCGTTTCCATAGGACAGACAGGGCGATGTTTTAATGAAAGGGCGAGTGAGTATCGACTCGCGGTCTGTAATAAGTTGGGGGCATCTTGCGGTTCACTGCATGCGTTGCGAGTGTGAACTCCTTTTAGAAATATTAAAAAAAGTTTATTAAAAAAGCCCGTCACAAGACCAAAAGAGAGATAGTTGATGCGTTTTTTTATCAGTGCATCGGGTGACAACTAAACTCCCTTGATACTTCATTTACAAGTAACGACAACCAATACAAATGACAAAGCACATTCCGCTGGAACAAAATGGTGGCATTCAGTTCAAACCTCTGCTGTGCGCCGCCATTCGCTTCCTAAAACCTGCACGGTCACGAAGTCGGCGCAGTTGTCACTACGCAGTGACAACTGCGTCAGCACGCCATCTATTATCCTAGGTGAGAGAAGGTGTTTCTTTTCTGAACGGTTTTGTCTCGACAAGTGTGACTCTTAGAATTGGACACGTGTCCAAATTGGACATTTGGACATTTGTAGTTTTTGTTTTTAATCCTAAGTGGAGGCATCGTCCGCGCATATGCACTGGTGTGACTGACTGGGATAAAATATCTGTTGCAAGTTAGCGCCTGTCTGCGACGTGTGGGTTTTCTTTTTCGTGTTTGTCTTGGTTTGCGCTTTTAACCTCCTAAATCATCGTGAACCATCCAGCTAAAACCATAGTCCTAATTCAAACATTACAGTCCGCTCAACCTTCGTTAGAACGTACGTGCCAAGTAGTTGGAACAGGATGTTGAATGGGTTCAGAGAAAAGTGCCAGAAATTCTAAAACGTGAGAGCGATTAGAAAAAAAATAGAAAAAAATACAATGCCTATGACAAAATGGGGCGCGTTCGCTGACTTCAGTTTCACAAATTTTGCAATTTGAGAGCAATCACAAACAACTGGTCACATAGCCCTGCTATGCGACCAATTTGTCATAGGACACTTCGCCACTGGGTCAACCGGCCAAATGCTGAGAAAAGGGTGGCATGAAACGTGTATGTGGAAAGATAAAGTTTGAGAAACGACCTTATTTTTCGTCCACTTTGTGGTTTTGTGAGCTGCCAGTCACTTTTGTTTTCTGGGCTCCGAGTTGAACCCTGTTTAGGAATATATTTTTTCGGGTTTCCAAAACACGCAAATAATAAGAAAATGACCCGATGGGCATTTTGATTGGGTGGACATTTCGACCCCATGCACATTTTGACTCGATGGACATTTTGACCCTATTGGACATTTCGTGTCGATGAACATTTTGACTCGGTGGACATTTCAACCCGATTGGACATTTTTACACGCGTCTCACGTGACCTGTTGAACATTTTCACCAAATGGACATTTCGTCTCGATTGACATTTTGACCAGAAGCCCCGAAAAATAATACGATCATTCATACTCCGGTCTGTGCAATGCCGCTACTGAGCACTCGCACCCGTCAAGCAGGCATCTTTGCAGAACGTTGTAATGACGTTTATTAATTCTACGAGACAGTTAGTGGGATCTAACGTGTTCAAAGGGTGCTTTAAAAGTTAAAACGCTCAGGTCCTTGCGATTGCCGTTGATAGCCACACGATGGAACGGAGAACGTGCGCGAACGCGCAACTGCATCCATACTGACGAAAGAAGCTTTCGTGTTTGTTGATTGTTAGCAGGCGCCATCCTCCTTCTTCCTCCTCCCAACCACTCTTCCTTTCCTTTTTTTCAGGTGGCACGAGAAAGATGACCCCGCTATTGGGAGACTAACCTCTTGTTCCGCATTTTCCCTTCCTCTCCTGGTTGTTTTTCTCCATAAACTCAATCACTCTTTGACTCAGATATGATTCTGAATTTATTTACTAAAAAAACAAACACCGCAAACCAAACGGATGGGGAAGGTTGCTACAGCCGACCGTGACTGGGCTTGATTTCGCATCTACCTCAGCTAAAATAGGAGGTGCCATGATAGGTTGGTGCACAACCTGCTAACCAAACGTGCACCTAATTGTCTGCTCTGTGGTGGCCATTGAGCTTCCAGAAATCGTCATTACAGTTCCGTACGATCCTGGAGGCCTGTTGAGCGACTGTTACCAGGGAAATGGAGACCAGACAAAGTTTCGCCAAAATGCTTAGCTCTTTCAGGGTTGTTTGCACCCTAAAAAAGCTAAGATTCTCGGCGAAACTACTGCTGTTACTCTGAGTTTTCCAGTGGATTTTTTTTTTTGTTTTCAAAACCTTTCCACGAGCTTCTACCTCCTTCATATTTAGTTTGGGCTTATGCTGTGACCTGGGCTAACGATTTAGTTTTTCTTCCTGCCCTGACTTATGTCGTTAAGATGCAAACAGTGAGTGTAACAGGGGACAAACAGTAAAAGAAGACAAAGAAAAACAATCAGGTGCTCGTTTTCAGCTGAAAATACGTAGAAAAGAGAAAGTGGAAAACGCAGATGTCTTAAGACATGTTTGCGGGAAAGCTCTTAGAAGATAACGCGCCCATCCCCGGTCTAGGGTTTGTCAATACCCTTTTCGCACTTTCTATGATTGAATGAATCGCGGGTTCCTATGCTCCGTCTCAATGTAGGGTGACAAAAAGTGGCAGCAATGACCCCAGCGAGCCAGTCGACACCAGAGCGAGTCACGTGACATGCATAGTCGGAGTGCACCCGTCCTGTGGGAAGCCGTCACATGCTTCGCTTCGTCACTCTTATTACATCGCGAAGGCCGCAGCTTTCGCTTTTTGCAAAGCTATGCAGACACGGAGTAAGGTGCGCCGCGCTTTTTCGTAGCCGACGCTACGAGGTAATAGGGAGTTTTCGTAGACCGCGCTGCCCCGTCCGCTAAGCGTTCAGCAACGAAGAAGTTGCTACTGCGCCTGCGCGCCGATAGCTTTGACTGTGGAGTTCCCGCTATCGTAGCGGGTTGCGAACGGCCTTGCGGGACGGCGAAAACGATCTACGAAAACTCCCTAATGGGAACGATCAGGCAGCGTCAAAAGCGTAAGATCACGAAGAACGTGAAAGCCTCCATTCCCCGAAGTTATCGCATCACTTTTTACATTTTTACATTTTACATTTTCTTACTTCGATGGGCTCATTTTCCCGGACGAGCCCCGATTACATTGTCTTAGTTTAGGTGCACGGTAGAACATAGAACACGCTTTTCATAGTTCTGCTAAATTCTGTGCTTGAGCAAAAAGTGTCCAATATGAGTGATAGAACGAAAAGCAAAACTAAAATATCGGGATGTCAGGAGTGGGGTTCGAACCCACGCCCTCTCTCGAGGACCAGAGCTTAAATCTGGCGCCTTAGACCGCTCGGCCACCCTGACTCTTTTTTTCTTCGTTACATGTAAGACTTGCGAACAAAAAAGCACAAATACAGTCTACATGTAAAACCAATGAAACATTCTCTGCTAAAACATTTGCATAACAATGTCATGCGCAACACCCACATTCGGCGTTTTATACATGTGGCCACTGAATGTAGTATTCCTATACATGAGACTCTGGCCACAACGTCTAGATCGATGGCTCTAGAAAAATTTACGCTTGCGCCAAACTCGCACCCTTTAGAAATCTGGTAGCCCTAGCCATGCCTCAAACAACGGAAACAACGGGTTGACTGAATGGGGGAGCATATGCG